TCTTCCCGTTGAATTTCTCAATGTCGAATTTGGCGGAACTCATTATCGTGACTAGGATTTCTTCCAATGAATTCTACCTGCTGCCTTTCCAAGAACTAGGCTGAAATCACCAAAATGTTGTACTATTGTATAATAACCAAAATTTTTCAGCCTAAACCTGCCTTTTAACGCCTTATTGTCCAGGAAATTCTCACCAAATTTCTTACCTTCTCCCCGTGAACTCCGCTTCCTTCGCCAACCGAACGGAGAGCTCCAATTCCTTATGGCAGAGATCACACCTGTTCACTGGAGAAAATTTCATGTTTTGTGCTCACGCCTCCTTCCCGCAGGCACTCCTCTGCGTCCAACAGAACAAATCAGGAATTCCTCCTCTGCCTCTCGCACGAGAATAACTGCCTCTCCAGAGCCATTGCGCCTCGCCAAACTTCTCAAGTCCTCCTGCTTTGCGAACTCCCGAACAGGGAACTCCCTGAATCCTTCTCTGCGCGATCTCCGCCTCTTCCCTCTGGCCGAGCTGCTCGCAAGACCGAACTCCTGCTCCGAAATCCTCTGCTGGCAGCCCTGTCGCAAATTTTCGGCCATCGCTTGTGGATTGTTCCTCCTCCGTCTCGCCGAACCGCACAACCTGCGGGGCGCGTGCGAATCCAGTCGATCAAAGCTTCCACTGCTCACTAAATCTGTCGCGATTCGGCTGCCTGCGACGCGATCCGCTTGCTTCCTGTTCGTGAATGCCGAACTTCTCTTCTTCGTCGCTGGCCGCGAACACCTTTACGCGAACACTTCTAGCCAAGAAGTATGGATCTTCCCACAGACGACGCTAATTGTTGTGAGATATGTACTTCCTGACATAGAATTGAAACGCAAATAACAAAAGCAAACACAGATCGTTTACGTGGTTCTATCCAACTGGATCTACGTCAACGGGAGGGAATCAATCAAATAGTTCACTAAGGCAAAAGAAATAGAGAAAACATAGCTTATACATAGAGATGAGCACTCATCTTCCTTCTATGGCCCCCCTCTCAAGCGACACCTTGATACAAGGCCTCAAGATGCTCTCCTCATCTCTAGCTCTCTAGCTATTCTCTCCTCCTTTGTGGTAGCTTAAGATCTCTTCTCTTGCTCTCCTAAGTCTCACACCCTCTCTATTTATAGAAGCGAGAGAGTGGTAGGTGGGAGGTAGGTGGGAGGCAGGTGAGATGTGGTAGGTGAGCGGTACCACATTACAAAAGTGCTATTTTACCTTAGCTCAATAACTGGGGGTCAAAATAACAGTTAAGCGGACGAGCACTCCTAGGATGGGTGACCTTCTGAGAAGTTACACCAACAAGGTGAAACTGTGTGGCTATTTGACCGAAGCGGATAATACCTTGATGGGTGAGAGTTTAGGGTGTCACACCATATGACTAAGAAAGCCCAAGAATCTCCTCAGAATGGTAGAGGGGATTCATAAAGATAAAACGAGTAGGGCTTACTTACAACTTTATATTTTGAGACCAACAAAAGCCCATACATCTCTTCTGAGTGAAAAATATATCAATCAGTGGAAATTTACTTATGTAGCACACAATTCTTATGTATTTATATTTGTCACACCTAAACTTCCATGTTTACACACGAAAGATTTGAGTGTTATGTGTGTACATATGAAAGTTTAGGTCCGAGGTTTGTAAATACATAAAAAGTGTGTGCTATGTATGAGATATTCAATCGAACATCAAATATTAAGTCGAATTAATCTTCCTGCTCTTTTTTGGAGGATTTAAATCTATCACCTTGGACTGGTAAAGTTGCAAAGAACTGATTTTTCTTCTTTTTTTTGATTCAGGTGGGGATCATTTACGAATGGAGAAGAAGGGTATGAAGAGTTTGATGCTGTTATAGCTTACAGAATTGGACTAAAAACCTGGGCAAATTGGATCGACTCCAATCTCAACCAGACCAACACAAGAATATTTTTCACCACAGCTTCCCCCACACACATGAGGTAATTATTAATCTCCTTATCCTTCCCTCTACACTAGGGGTGTAACTGAGCTAAGCTGACTCGTAGCTGGCTAGGCCCCTGCTTGATAGGTGGCTTGTGAGTGGAGCGTGATGAGCTAACAAGCCTAGTTGAAGCCAATCCCGACTTGACTCATTACCTTGTGAACCGGCTAGTTTAAAAAATAACTAATATAAAATATGCTCGTTGTGAAAAAAATTAATATTTTATATCAAGTGATATTTCATTCTTTATGCTATTTATCATTTTATTATGGCACTCGTTTAAATTAATAATTTCCATCTTACATAATAAACCAGCCGGTTTGTGAGCCAGTTCAAACTTTTAGATTTAAGCTCGAGCTCGAGTTCAACTCCACTCATTTACACCCCCTACTCCACGCTTCCTTTCTAATTGAGAAAAAAATATGAAAAATGAGATTTCAGGAGCTCAGATTGGAATCGAAGGAGCGGAATTCGATGCTACAATGAAACGAAACCAGTGAGGAAGAGAGGATATTGGGGGAGTGGGGCTGATAAGAGAATAATGAAAGTGGTTTCAGACATTGTTGAGAGGATGAGAGTTCCCATAACTTTGATAAATATAACTCAGCTCTCAGATTACAGAAAAGATGGGCACACTTCAGTTTATACAGAGACAGAGGGGATAGTATTTACAGAAGAGCAGAAGGCTGATCCACAGAATTATGCAGATTGTATACATTGGTGCTTGCCTGGAGTTCCTGATACATGGAATAGGATTTTTTATGCATATTTTGTGAGGTTGAAAATGTAAGAAAATCAATGGAATTTTTTTATTTTTTAATAATTTTTGGAGTTGAATTATGAGTTAATTAATTCAGTTTGAGTTGGGTTTTGATTGTGACTTCAGAGTTATGTGATTTCTTGTTTGGGAAATTTACATGCCTGCCACATAATTTCTTAGTATTTACATATCTAACAGCTTAGGTTTGATATTTACAGTCATAACACTGGTGGCATGAATCCAAGCATAAAGTAGGGTATTTCTATGCATATAAATATGAAAATCTGTGTTGGATATGTAAATACATAAGAATTGTATGGTATGCATTCTTTATTGTAATTTGGAGAAATTGAGGCTATGATTTAAATAGGTATCACTCAATTCTTATGTATTTATGTGTCGAACGCAAACTTTAATTTTTACATATATGCCAATCTTGTTTATATAGTAAAAGATGTATTTCACTTTTAAGTTAAAGTAGTGGTATTTTTTATGGGAAATGAAAATTTTGATTGGTATAAATGTTATTTAGCAGAATGCTGGTTTTTCCTTGAGCTGCAACACTTAAGAGGGATTTTTGGTTATGTGGTTTATTATGGTTGACAGATATTGATTTTTTCGTGCGATGGAAAGCGATGACCATCTTGATTGAGTAAATTTTTCCCAGTGTCTAGGTTAGTCGGCCTTTTAGGCTTCTTTATAGAGTTTAGTTTAACTTTCAATCTAAGAATCTTTCCTACCTTACTCTATAGTATAGGGGTTCTGATCAATTCATGTCTATCATTTTAAATATCACTGATTCTTCTTTTTAAACCCTATCTAACTCGTTAAAGCATTATTCCAATTTTTTTAAACTTCAAATATCATTGATTCATCCTTTAAACTCTATTCAAGCAGTTTAAATAACATCAATTTAATCATTTCAAAATTTAATCATTTCAAATCAATCCTTTAAAATATCACTCATTGAATATCAAGCTTTCTTTGTCAGATAATCAAGTTTTTCTACTCCTTTGAGCTCAAATCTTTTAAATCCTTTTATAATTTGACTCATTACATTAATCAGGAGTTTTTTTTTTAGGGTTCACGATCTTAAGGATGTAATTAATTACGAGGCCTTACTCTTGTAAGAAGGAAGACCCTAGAATTAAAATAAACATTATCTTACACTTGTGAGATAAGGAAAAAAACCCTGGTTCCGTAGACTGAAAGAAGGCTTTCATCATCAAGGTGGTTAGGTCCATGTCTAACATAATATTCACTTCCTTCTATAGAGCATATTATTTTGCGAAATGTTGTGCCCGATCATGGATAGAATGTCTCCGAAAGGCATTATGGTGTTGGCGAACAAAAAATTTGCCCACCAAGGAGCATAACTCCGATAACACATCATGGAAAAGCTAATCTTCACTCTTATTATTTTTGTACTCAGGCTTCAGCCCTACTTAGAGACACCCAATCAGGGTAATTATCAATCACCCCTTAACGGCGGTCCTAGCCCAAACATCATGACCTACTTCTAAAATGGGTTATGGAGATTAGCTAATTTGAACTATCCTAAGTCTCAAGAACAACAATCAAGGTTTAAGTCATGATGAACTTCCTGGCTGACTTCTCCGAACTGAATGACCCCGCTGATGAAATTCCCCCAAGTCCTACCTAGATCCTTCCATATTGACCAAGCATCCAACTAATGCCAAGTGGGACTTAGACTCACACTCACAAGTCCAGACGTTGACCATCTATACCAATTAGTGGATGTAGAATTAAACTCCATTAACAATCAGGCTGAATAAGACGCCCTTCTTGTTGGGTTACATTTTGTCTATGAGATGTGTGCCTGACATGTCTTGGTAAAATCTGACACGCAGCTCGTGATCGACAAACTAGTGGTATGGTTCAAAACTAGGGAATAAATGATGATGAGATATATCACAAAAGTCAAAAGCCAAAAAAGAGAAATCCAAACGGTTCAGAATTGAATATATCTCTAGGAACGATAACAAGGTAGCAGATCTCCTATCTAACTGCAATCGCCTAGGGGGGAGAACTCATAAACTCTTGCACCCTACCATCAAAGTGGCTAGGGCAATGGAAGTAAAGACCAAATGGGCGAAGAGTTGGGTCAACCCTTACATTCACTTTCTCAAGACATGAGATATCTTTTAAAAATGTTACCAACCCAAGACATTTCAAATTCAAGGCCATCCATTATCTTATAATGGATGATAAGTTATTTCGAAGGTCAACCACTCCTTTCTATCTAAGGTCAGTGTGTGAGTGCAAATTTGAAGAGTTGTTGAAGAATTCTCAAGAAGGTGTGTGTTGTGCTAGAAATTTATCGCACTAGCTACAACCCATAATTAATCCATAACCGTTTGCTATCTGGGAGCTACATACTCTCAGACCTTTTTCCACTTTTAAGGGGAAACAAAAATATATACTAGTAGCAATTGATTACTTCTCCAAGTAAATAGAAACCAAGACACTTGCTCAAATAACAACTAATATCATCCAAAACTTCATCCGAACGAATCTCATTTGCAGTCATGTAGATATGACATATAAATAGAAGAGAACATGCGCAGTCGATGGAAGCGACATTCAATCCAACTATAATCTTCAATTCCTCCTCAACTTCATAGGAAACATTCACAAGATAAATAACGTGCAGAGGCTAACACATTACAAAAACCATAAATCCCCTTTCTAAAAATACAACTTGCCAACAATAACACATTCCAAAAGTAGAAAATACTAGAAAAAGTAAAGTAGAGAGAGAGAGAGAGAGAGAGAGAGAGAGAGAGAGAGAGAGAGAGAGAGAGAGAGAGAGAGAGAGAGAGAGAGAGAGAGAGAGAGAGAGAGAGAGAGAGAGAGAGAGAGAGAGACCTTATTGTCTACTCCAGTTGGTGGAGAAATCAACTTCAGGCAGGAGAAGCAGTTTGGCCTTTTATTCATCTGCTATCAGTTGTGATATATGATTCAATCGCATATAGCTAACTTCCTAAATAAGATTATTGTAATTTATAGAATTAGCATTAATGTTAATCTTAACTTTAGTTGTTAAGCTGAACAGACCATTAAAGACCATTATTTCCTGGTTGGGCAAATCCTTCAGCATCAAATTTGAAATTTTATAAGGCTTTTAGTGTAAAATTACCTCAAATAAGTTTAGGTGCTAGATTGTTGGATATGTAAATACATAGAAATTGAGTGGTATATATGTAAATACCCCAATTTTAATAATAATATATTTATTAATAATTTTTATTTTATTCCATTTAATTTCCATTATATGGAGTTACTGATTTCATTGCTTCCTATCAAAGTATGTAAGCCATTGAAAGAGACTAACCATCAGTATCCAGAAGGCTTACATACACTTAACTTCAACAAGTCATTTGGGCTTTGCCACAACATGAAGAGAAAGCGATTTATCATCCAATTTTCTAATAATAGAATTTATTTCCCTTTTTATTAAAAAAATATATATAGAAAATAGTTTTTTCATATTATTATTTACTTCTTGTCTAATTTAAAATAGGGGCATTTATATACATACCACAAATATCTTATGTATTTACATATACGGGCCGTGTTCGGTTCGTTTGAAATTTAATTTGTTTGAAATAAGCCCGGTTCGAAATTGTTCGTGAAATCACTGTTCGTGTTTGATTCTTAATGAACGAGCTGAACACGAGCTGTTCGCGAACGGCGAGCCAGTTTGACTTCCCTGATATTAATATATATAAATAATATATTATATTAATTATATAACTTATAGTATATAAATACATAATATATATTAGTGTATTACTAATATAGTATATTAATATATAATTATTATTAATTTATTATATATTATAATTTATAAAATTCAATTTTTTAAAATGTCATATATTTTTTTATGTATAGTTATTTTAAATTATTTTATATTTCGAACAATAACGATTCGAACACGAACGAACGCATCACTGTTCATGTTTGGCTCGCTTAATTAACCGAACAAGAAAAATTTGTTCACGTTCGTCTGGTTTACCCATCGAACAAATCGAACACGAACTCATTGACAAACCGAACACGAATTGCTCCGACAGCCCTATTTACATATGTGACGCCTAATCTTTACCTTTTTTACAATTATATCATCCAAATCTTTTGCATTACATAAAAATACCACTGATTTAATTTTCATTCATAGGTACGATGACATATAGATAAAATTTAAAGTTGAGGTTAGCCAGCCAAGTCAGAAAGTAGTCGAACGACTATCTTACACAGGTAAAATATCATAAATATCTCAATAATAATCAATTTAAAGTAGGGGCAGAAGTATAATATATCATCACTCGTAACATCTCTTCTACAAATACACGAATTAAATAATGCATAAGACACGATTAATTACTACATATTACTATTTTTTTACTCTCTCTCTCTCTCTTCTTACACTATTCATTTGGTGTGATCCACACGCAAATCTGGAACCATATACGTATCTAATACCTATAGTTCGATATCTACATTTATTACACTTTGGTACGATAAAGTTATGCATGAGAATATGTATTTTTCTTTTAAAAAAAAGCAATGACTCGATATTTTTGATCAGTTGTTACTTATTTGAGTGGTATATATGTAAATATGAAAATTTAGATATTTGATACATAAATATGTAAGAATTGTGAGGTATGCATGCAAATGCCCCCATTTTCTTATATATAATAATAATAATAATAATAATAATAATAATAATAATAGAAACTCCAATGAAAGTCAAATGTTGACATTAAATTGAATAATTAGATCAAATTTGACAATTGTGGATTCCTTAATTTTAGCGAATGTTCATAAGCTATGCGGCCATTTTTAATTGATTTTAATATTTAATTATTTCCTGAATTTATTAAATATTTAAAAAATTATTGTGAAAGGTGACATTCTAAAAGGGAAATATTAAAAAAAAAAGGGCTTTTACATACAAATCACCTAATTTCTATGTATTTGCATATCTATCGCTAGGGTTTTGAATTTAGCTTGAAGATGATTATTCGCTCCAAAATTGAATAGAATCTTGGCTTGATCGAGATTGGATAGAAATGAACAAGCCCAACTACGACGAAAATGTTTGGATCAAATTTTTTTCGAGTTGTACACAGATCTGCTTGAACTGGCTCGAGACCAGCTCGATGTATTTTTTTTATTTATAAAAATTGTATATAATACTAAATTAAATCCATTATAATGAGCCACTAGCCAATTTCGAGCAGGAATTGATCGAAATAAATCAATTTGAGCCATCTTGTTTTGATTTCAGGCCGAATCTAATTGATTTCAAGCTTGAATGGATAAAGAATAACTCAAATTTGAGCCTTGTTTAGATTTCGAGCCAAGCTGGCTTAAAATCAAATGAAATGAGTTACAAGCCGATTTTGATCCGAACTCAATCCATTTCGAGCCAGCCCAGCTCGGTTCGAATAGACTTGTCAACAACCCCATCTTCCACATTAACTCTACATCTCATATTTATATCACCCAAATCTTTCATATCATATATATATATATAGAAAATATCACTATTTTAATTTTTAAAAAATTAAATATATTTTTTGTAGATAAATAAGATGATTTATGTAAAAATTAAAATTTAATTTCAAAAAAAAAAAATAATAATTGCAGTTAACAGTCTAACTACTCATGTCACCAAACCAATTCCAACAGCGGTTTAGCTCTCAGCTTCAGTACTTAACCCCATCTATTCCTACCAAACTTTTTTTTAAATTATACTTTTATTTTGTGAAATTTACATATTTACCACCAAATTATCATGTTTTTATATATCTGACACCAAAATTTTCATATTTACATACATAACATTTTGGTGTTTATAGATATAGAAATAGATATGATAAATAAAGAAAGGGACACTATTTTACTCGTCAAAAAATGACTACTCCTCTTATGTAATTGAGCCGAGTCAAGTCGAGTATATCAGTTTGGACTTGGCTTGATATAATTATAAGTTGTTCATGTTCGGCTTGAGCTAGTGTCGAGCTTTCACATATTGTTCAAGCTAGACTTGTTTAATTTTTTCAAGATTTGAACTTGATTTGTTTATGACAATTGAACGAGCATTTAAACGAGTTAAGAATTCGAACGAGTATCTAAATTTTCATATAAATAATATAATAATTAATTTTTAAAATCTAAATAAATCATATAATCAAATGAACTAACCCACATGTTATCATTTGGTCTCTAATAAATGCATTCTCATAAGAATGAATTTTAAAATGGAAGAAAAGAATATTGAAACATGAGAAAAAAATTTAAATGAACTAAAAGTAATTCAAATTAAATAATAAAATAAATATATAATTAATAATTAACCTAATAATACTATTGATATGATAATATATTACTATTAAATATATAACTAAATTTTATTTAAATAATGTACCACATATGATACGAGCTATATTCGAGCTTAATATCGAGTGTTTTACAAGCACTTGTTGAACGACAAACGAGTTTGTTCGTGAACGTGAATGAACAAGTTCGACTATGTTCGTACTAAGTTCATTTAAGATTCGAGTTTTAAAAAATTGTTCAAGCTTGCTTATTTGTTAATTTGAACAAATTTGATCGAGTCTTAGTCGAATCATGTTCGAGTTATTCACCGAGTGAGTTGGTTCATTTACAGTTTTATTCATGAATAGCTAAGGTGGGTAATCTACATGTAAAAAATTAAGTGTTAGATATGTAAATACATAAATTCTGATAAACTTTTACAACTTAGCCCAATATTTTCATAAATTTCTCCAATTTTGCAAAACAACCCCTCACTTTACCAGCTCCAATCCTTCTTCTTAATTGCATTCCCTCCGCGCAATCCCCAATCCACCTCTCCTCAACCCACAATGATTTTCTCTCGCCGGAAATACTCCTCCTTCCTCACCGCCGAGGTGCTCGCTGGAAAACATTCTTCCGCCGCCACCGGCGTCCGGCAGCACAACAAACTCTCCATCTTCGCAATCGTCCTCTCCGTCATTCTCTTCGCCGCTTTCATCTACAACGATGACCTTAAATCCATCGCCGAATTCCCCTTTCCGGCCAAACCTCCCTCTGATTCTCCCCTCCCCCTTCTCCTCGACACCACTGAAGAATCTAATCGGAGCATCGGATCCATGGATCCGATCACCAAAAACCCTAACTGGTGTGAAGAGGAGCAGAAGGAGAAGAGGAAGGCACCGAGATTGAAGGAGGGGAGCCAAGACGACAGGGCGTGGGTTTTGGATAAAACGGTGGTGAGAATAGCGGAGGGGTGTGATGTCTACGCGGGGAAGTGGGTGTACGACAATGACACGCGGCCGAATTATAGGGAGGAGGCGTGCGAGTTTCTGACGGAGCAGGTTACTTGTATGCGGAACGGTCGCATGGATGATGCGTATCAGAAGTGGAGATGGCAGCCTAGAGATTGTTCCCTACCCGAGTAAGCAGGAAATCTCTTTAATATATTAAATATAAAAAAAAAATTATTAAAATACTAAAGATTGATTTTTTAAATGATTTTATTACTGATAATAATATTATTATTTCTTTTTTATAAATATGTGATATGATTAATTAATATATGATAAAATTTAATTAAAAAATGGGGGGGAAATGAAGGTTTGATGCAAGGGTGATGCTGGAGAGATTGAGAGGGAAGAGGCTGATGTTTGTGGGGGATTCGCTGAACCGGAATCAATGGGAGTCTATGGTGTGTCTTGTACAATCTGTCATCCCTCCGGGCAAGAAAACCCTACTCAAGAACGGTTCACTCAACACTTTCAGAGCAGAGGTATGGTAAATCTGTTAAAAATTATATATTTTTTTGGGCATTTACATGCATTATACACAATTTGCATATTTATATATAACATATAAACTTTATATTTACACACATGTCCTGTTCATGTTCTTAATATCACATAAAAATAGTATTTTTATCATTCTTTAGAAATGAAACAGATCTTCATGTATGAAAGTTTAGATGGGAGATGTGTAAATACATGAGAATTGTGTGCTAAGTATGCAAATTTCGAATATTAATTTTTTATATAATTTATCTGGTAATAGTGCAAGCTATTTTTCATCTTACTTGAAATATTTAACTTTTCTTAAAATGTTTTTTAAACGTTCAAACAAAACTTCCAGTTTTGTTGGCTTTAAATGCAAGTATTAGTTGTGTATGCTGCTTCCTACGAGTTCATCAAAATTCGTGCTAATTAATTTGCATGAGAATTCAGATGTGGGAATTTACATGCGTGATTGAGATGTGGGCATTCATTTGCATGAGAATTCATATGTGCACTATATTAGTTTGCTTGAAAATTTTGATGTGGGCATTTACACCCACTTCCTCTGTACAGGGGTGGAACCGGTCTCTTATTTTAGGGGAGTAAATTAGTGCCTCCTTAGACCCAATGTGAGATAGATTAAGATAATGAATGACAAAGTAATATTTCAGGAAGAGTAACATAACAACTTACTCTCTAATATAAATAAAAATCTGAATTTAAGAGGTGGGCGAACCTACCTGGGTCCGCCCCTTCTTCTGTATTATTTTTTTACATCTATAAGGCCCAGATCTTCCCCATCACATTAAAAATACGATCATTTTTATTAACTTTTAAAAAGTGAAATGCAATGTTATTTCTCAACGAATTTTTACATATCAATCATCCAAAACATTTAGTAGAATATTTTGACCAACCAAACTTTAAATACAATGTTTTTATCATTTTTTTATTACAACGACCCTCATTTACTCATTTATGAAAGTTTTGAGTGAAAATTTTAGGGAATTAAAATATTTTATCTAGTATTATGGATGGTTGGTGTGTATAAACCCCAACAATTTCATATCTAACACATTTTATTTCATATTTTTAACACTCAAAACCTTACTTCACAACAAAAACACCGCTATGATTAACATTTTAAAGCAAAAAACAAACATCTTAATGCACGAGTTTATGATACTATAATATTGTAAGTATAAAGCCCATAAAGAAAAGTAATTGCAAGAGTTTGAGGGTGTGTTTTTGCAAAGAATTATAAGTTTGAGTTTACAAAAAAAAAAGAAAAAAAAAGGGGTTTTTATGTAATAAAAAATTGCAATATTAATGTGCATATTTATGTAGGAGTATGATGCCACAGTAGAGTTCTACTGGGCGCCATTTTTAGTGGAGTCAAACTCAGATGACCCAAAGAAGCACAGCATACTTGAAAGAATCATCATGGCAGAGTCAATAGAGGAGCATGGGAAGAACTGGAAGGGCGTTGACTTTCTCATCTTCAACACATACATTTGGTGGATGAATACCTTCACCATGAAAGTCTTGTGAGTAATATATTCATCACAAAGATTTACATTCATTTTCTTATGTATTTACATACATACCCAACACCTAAACTTTAATTTTTTGCATATATTGTACCTTCTTACCAATATGCATAAAAGTGTGTATTTCACTTCTTTTAAAGTTGATTAAAAAAGTGATTTTTATAATGTGTAATGTAAAAAAAGTAAAATTTAAGTGTTCGATGTGTAAATACATATTAGTTGGTTGGTATGCATGTAAAAATCCCATTTTTTTGGGAAGATTTACGTGCATACCTCTCAATTCCTATGTATTCACACACTATGACACTTAAAGTTTAATTCTTACTTATGCATGAAAATATATATAAAAGATAAATATGAGGAGTTTGATATGTAAATGTATGCATGTGAATTGGGGGGTATGAATGTAAACAATAAAATGATTGTGGTGCAAAAAATTTTGATGCGCAGGAGGGGATCGTTTGAAGAAGGGTCAACGGAGTACGAGGAGGTTGACCGAGCGGTGGCATATGAGAAAGTGTTAAGGGCTTGGGCGAAGTGGGTTGATGAGAATTTGGATGCTAAGAGGACTATGATATTCTTTATGAGCATGTCCCCTCTCCATATCAAGTAATTATGAATTTACCCTAATTAATTATGTGCTTAATTATTCATAAATAACACTTTGCCGCAATTAATTAATACAATTTAACAATGCCACATATATTATATATTAAGATATTATGTTATGTTATCCATTATGGTGTTAGGTTTTTTGCTTTTTAGTCCAAAACAATTGTCAATATAGCAATCCTAAAAAAATATAAAAATATTATATTTTTAACCATCTATTTAATGCATTTTTAGATAAAGTGACTGCTATAGGTGAACATATATATATATATATATATATATATATATAAAGGAATGACCAGAGGTTATTATACGAGCCTCCAATAACCCCTAATGTGCCCAACAATTTGAATAAAACTTCTTTAAGGTCAACTGTGTCAAAGGGGTTCGAACCCCCAATCTGAGGGATCTTATACAGTAGATTTCGAGAGAGAGAGAGAGAGAGAGAGAGAGAGAGAGAGAGAGAGAGAGAGAGAGAGAGAGAGAGAGAGAGAGAGAGAGAGAGAGAGAGAGAGAGAGAGAGAGAGAGAGAGAGAGATATCAAAATTTAATTAGAATATTTAAAAAAAAAATTGCATGCATGCCACATTAATTTTTTGTATTTACATATTTAAAATCTAAATTGTGGCATCCATTTATATAAGAATTAATTGTTTCAATCATATTGAAAGAGTTGATATTAGCATTCTTTATGTGATTTAAATATTTAAATGTTTTATATAAATAAATATCAAAATTTAAATGATCAATCTATAAATACATAAGAATTTTATGTCATTTTATGTATGTAAATCAATATGTACATAAATATGTATGTAAATAAATATTCATTTTCTAATCCTCGTTTTCATTAAATTTCGTGCCATAGGCCAAATCAACTAGCTTTAATAACCCTCCTCTCTTATTCAAAATAAATATAATAAATTTTAGAGCTATTTACAAATTTTTATGTACATCTTTATCAAATTTTATTCGAAACATCAAATTTAGATTTTTATAATTTAGCCTTTTGTCCTCCTGAAATATTATTGTTGCCTATTTTGAAGTATTACTTTGACCTTTATTGATCTAACCCCTCATACGTTGGGTCTTGAGAAACAGTTTGCCCCCTCTCAAAAAATAGGTTGATTTCGCCTTTGTCCAACGAGACCACGTGATTTACAGCGGCATGGCTGTATTTGAATCATCGTCTGGACGTGCGACCAACTGCACCTATTAATTTTTCATATCTAACACCTAAATTTCCATTTTTATATTTATACCACTAAAACATTTAGCAAATAAATTCCAACCCAAAATTTTCATTTTTATCAAATTATGATAGTGGCTCGGTAGTTCAAAAAAATCATTTTGATGGTTATTTGTAAATAACAAAGTTTCAGGTGATCTGTATGTAAATATCCATTTTTTTTCCATATAATAGGAGCGAGGACTGGGGAAACCCTAACGGCATAAAATGCGCCTCCGAGTGGCGTTCCCCCCGTGGGCGGCAGCCGCCGCTGGACGTGGGAACCGATTGGAGGCTATTCTACGCGGCGGCGCGGGTGATAAGCTCCATGAAGACGGCGGTGACCTTCGTTAACATCACCGCCCTCTCGGAGCTCCGAAAGGACGGCCATACTTCCGTTCACACGATACGACAGGGGAAGCTGTTGACCGCAGAACAGAAAGCCGATCCCCGGAACTACGCCGACTGTATTCATTGGTGTCTGCCGGGGCTTCCTGATGCGTGGAACCAGTTTGTGTATGGGTATATTGCTTCGGGGACGATGAGTGGCTGACTCGTAATTTTTTTCAACTCTTTTTTTTTTTTTTTTTTTGAGGGATGATGAGGGGAAGAGATGAAGGAGAAAGGGTGATTAAGAAAAATGGTTGGATTTGTTTTAGTGTTGAGTAATATAAAAGGAATTAATTGAAGGAAGATTTTTATATATTTAGATTGAGTTATGTGAGCCAAAAATAGTTTACGATGATTATTTCTATATGGGATCGTTTTAGTTTTAGTTTCAGAGTTTATAGAAGTGTCATAATAGTTCTAGACTATTTTAAAATTGAATGCTAAGAATCCATTATAGGAAAAAAAATTACATCAAGAAGTCTTGATGCAAAACTGTATCAGAACTCCAATCACAATACGTCATGTGTATTGTCTGGCCCCGCCATGTATTATAAATTATTAATTTATTTTATTCGGTGGGGTTGGACGGTATACATGATTTATTGTAATTGAAATTTTAATACAATTTTGCATCAGGACTCCTAATGTAATATTTTTTTCCTTTCACGAGGATTATTGCAACTTCAATTTAAAGAATTTTTTAGACTACTTTTATTTTTTTTTTTTGCATTTATGTAAACTTTAGGATTAAAATAGTCTTGTATATAAACAGTCAGGAACAATTTTGACATAGTTCAAGGTGAGTTTTACCCGACGATTATTTTGAGAACCAATGTTGAAAAAGTGACTTTATTTGATACAATATTGAGGAAAATGTGTGCAAGTAAGGCTTGAAATTAGAGGTCAAACTTTGGTGATTTGCAAACACTTATGAAATGGCTCTATATTAATTTAACCAAGTTTGCATCATGGCAATAGTCATATAAGATAACACACCTTAGTAAATAAACTTGAATTAGTTGTGAAATGAATTAAATACAAGACTTGTATTTCACTTTGCATGTTGATTCCAAATTCTTAGGCATTTACATACATACAAACCATTTGTTTATTTGCATAACTAACTTCTGAACTTTGTTTTTTTTACATTTATATCACACAAGTATTTCATGTCACAACAGAAATAGCACTATTTTAATTAAAAAAAAAATGAAATACAACTTTTCATGCATCGCTAACGTGGTATATATGCAAAAAATAAAATTTAAATGTTAGATATGTAAATACATAAGCATTGGGTGGTATGTATGTAAATCTATCAGAATAATAATAAATAAAAAGGTAAAAAATACATCTTAACTATTTTTTTCCCCATTTATGCCATTAAATCATTAAACAACTCAGTAGGCTACCTTATAACATGTCAACTTGTACATAAAATTAATATATATAAACCCAAGGGCTAATATATTAAGAAAAAAACTAAGAGCTAATATATTAAAATGGAAAAGATACAGATAGGTTATATGAGTGGACCCAAAACAGACACACTACCCACACAGTACAACACGCAAAAATCTCAAAAAAAGAAAAGATACATATAAGACCATAAACCAAAACCACCAAAATGAGAAAAAAGTTATGAACGACCAAATTTAGTCACGTCTTTGCCTCTAGTTCTAGAAAGAGTCGGCTAATAAATTGGTGAGTTGCATGTCATTACCCAAAGTAACCAATGTATCTTCAATTAGATTCTTGAGATCAAGTAGGTCTTCATTCTTCGTCTTCCTCCTAGATGTATAAATCTATCATTCCTCATTCGAAGACTGACTCATCTGATCAGTGTGTTGATCAACAAATTGTCGGGCATGTATAAGCTGATGAGTCCCTTGCGCCTGATTAACAGTAACGACATGCTCGTTCGGATGAGGTAGTAGGATCGTAGTAGAAGGATTGTTAACCGTTATAACTACAATAGGTTCTAGTGTATGTGAAGTATGAATTGTCGCCTCTGCACTGGATATTTCTTGAATATGAGAAGCTACAAGGCTCTCCTGATTATTGGTCTGAGCATTATCCTTTGTAGGTAAGTGTCCTTCAGTATTGTTTTCAATAAGGTTTGAAGGTGTAGATTGCCCAGCAAAGCCATCCGACAACACATCAATCACAGAAACTGAAACAATATTGTCAGGGGGATCCTCAGGGCAATTAAATTAGACACTAATTCCTATCTTGTGGTAATTTACTCTTATGCACTTGAGCTTTAGATTTCAAGTTATGATAGAGTCTGTGACATTTGTCAAGGGTATGCCCAAACATTTTACAGGGGTAAAATAAAAAAGTATATGTTCCATGATAATTTGTTGTCAATATTCATTGTGTTGTGCCCAACCAGATTTCTGTAATGTCGGGTAAAGTGATATCTTTTTCCACAAGTATTCTGGCAACAAAATGTCTGGTAAGATTGAAAGTGGGTAAATCCAGCTTCGTAGGATCCTCAAGTATGACCCCAATAGAGTAGAGAACCTGATGATTAAATAAATGCAGCTTGAGACCAGGTAAACTAAATCATACTGGCATAGTGGGAGATTCATGGTTTCGGTCAAAATGAGGAGACTACTTGAGTAACTTCATTGAGTTTCCTGCAATGTTAAGATATTTTTTTAGAGAAAATTCGAGCACAGTCTTCAGTCAAGGCTAACTGAATCGACACATGTCTCTCATCAAAGAGTCTCACTTTCCACTTATCTACTGGTTTGAGATCATGAAAACTCTTTCTGATAACTTCCATAAGAGGGTGCCCCCACTGAAATTTTCCAATAAAATGAACTGGTATTTCTCAATCAAGATTGAAATTTCTAAATCAGATAAAAAAATATTGTTTTCTCACATTTCCTATTTGTCTTCTTAACAAAAGAGAAGTCGCTTGTACCATCAAGACATTTCTTATAGCTTAAGGGGAAGACAACAACCGACTCTATTAGATGATTACCCACCACATGGGCGAATGAGACTTTGTCGGGTTCAACTGAAAGAGGGAGCGCGCCCACAAAGTAAGGAAAGAGTCCACCTGCTACGACACTGTTGTACACGAAAGTAGCAGAAAACAATAACGTAGCAAAACATAGGCGAAGATGATCGCGAAAGACACGGAGATGGAAAGCAAGGGGACGTGAAGACGCGAGCCGACATAAGCTCAGCGTCGAAACAGACGAAGCTGAAGACGCGAAACGACGGAAGCAGAGAGACAACAAAACATAGTAGACGAAGGTCTAAACAGAGACCCTTTTCCTTCGAGCGTGATTGATGCATTGACGACAAAAATCACCATGCGAAACCTTAACAGAGACTACAAAAATCATTATATATATATCCTAACTGTTAAAAGGGAAATTTACCTGCGTACCACAAAATTAATAAGTATTTTTATATCTAAGACCTAAAATTTAATATTTATGTTTAACATATTATTGTCACAAACCTATCCATGAGTTTATGTATGTCCCTTCCAAAAGTTAACAATACTAATGTTTTTTTATGTAATATGAAAGATTTGAGTAGAGTACATGTAAATATGAAAATTTAGGTGTATTAGACACGTAAATAGATAAGAAGTAGATGATATGTAAATGCCACATATTATCAATACATCCATGAAATAGCGAGAAAAAAAGTTTTTATTTATTTATTTTTTTAAAGAGTACTACATCCTGACTCTTAAAGAGTAATAGATAAATTACAATAAGACTTACAGCAGATCAGCTTCAATAATTACTCAACATAGTAATAATTTAATCAAAATTGCGAGGCTGATAACTAACTCCAGTTAAGCAGCATCCATACTTACTGGAGAAAAAAACAAGACAAGAACTCTTAAGCCAACCATGGGTAGAAGCTCAGTTAGGCTCTAGTGAAGGCCGCAATGGCTGTTGACCTCCTATGAGAAACAACAAGTAAAATGATTATAATAACAATACATAAATTTTACATACATTCCACACAATTCTTATATATTTACATATCTTGCACCTAAAGTTTGATATTTATACATACAGCACGGTCAGAATCACATCCAAAGTTATGCATTAAAAGACATTTGTTTCGGGGCGATTACATAAAAACCACACAAAATTTGCTAATTACAAATCAACCGCCCTCTGTCATCCATTTTTCAAATTCTCGCTCATATATCAAAATTCATTTCTATAGTTTGATTGTGGCACGCGTAAGTACATCAGTTATGCAGTTCAGTAATATCAATTGGTTGGTTAATTTGTAAATATCAACATTTCAGGTGTTGTATGTAATTATCCCATGTTGTGGCAATCATATACAGACCACCCGAAACTTGCTATTTACAATCAACCCCTCTTTCATCCATTTTTCAAATTCTCACTACAATATCAAAAAGTTTATAATGAAGTTATTTTGACGTGATGTCAAAAATTTAAGTATTGAACTTTGGATGTTTGATATATAAATATGAAAAAAGTTGTGTGATATATTTGGGGGGAATTATATATATATATAGATAGATAGATAGATAGATAGATATATGGGTCATGTAAATTCCAAATGCTATTTATGTTGACTAAACTTACCATAAAATTAAGGCGATGAGAGTATATAAGATGCTTGGAAGGGGAGTGAACCTCACTTCGGAATCGTTTCAGATATTTTGGGCTTGCCGAGATAAACCTGCCGCATTTCCTCTCTCCAAATCTGGAAATTTATGATGTTATGGATATATAATTATAAACAATGAATAAAATGGATCAACCAATTTTTTTATAGAGATGAAGATGCAAGCGAAAATAGAACAGAGATGGTGAACTCTATATACCATTTCGCGGAATTCAACTCGGATGTGGGGAACATTTGTCTTCTGAATGTCATTTCCGTCGGGGCCTCTTTTGTAATAACTTTTGCCAATCCAGTGGGACTGCGAACATGTTTTATGTAAATAACAATTAACTTTAATATTATGTGAAATAACACATTTACAAATACAATCGGTATTGTTGAGATTAGTAATTTAATTTCGTGAGGTCTAATTGTAAATGGAAATTAGAGAAGCCTAACTTTTGAATGGGAAAGTTTTAATTCCTTGGAACTTATTTCTTCATGGTATCTGAGACTTTGCTCTAACCTAGCAGCAGACTGCGCAAAGTTGCACCTAGGACGGAACAGCATCGTGCAGTCAGCTCGCTGCGCGAGACGGGATTGCGGGAAGGATCACCAGGAGTCTCCAACGACAATTAGAGCCTGCTGGGAAGGCAGATGGGACGGAACGATCGTGGGCAGGATCGCCAGAGGTCACCAATGATAGGATCCTGACTTAGGAGCTTCGCAATACGTCATACAATGGTGATTGGAGACTCAGACGGGATCGTGGTGATACAGCTTGATTAGAGTTTGCTGAGAAAGCAGACGAGATCGCAGGAAGAAGCAGGTCGAGGAGCTGTAGGGCGAGCAGATCCGATTCTTTGCTAGTAGGAATTGTGCACTGCGGATTGTGCAGAGGAAGAAGCTCGTTGCGGCCAAGGGCGAGGGAGAGAGGAGATCAAGCTGATGTTGTTGTGAGCAACAAGAAAGGTGTAGCAGCCAAGTCCAAGGGAGAGAGGGAAAGAGGAGATCAAGCTGATGTTGTCGTGAGGAGAGGTGTAGCAGCCAAGTACAAGGGATAAAGGAGATCAAGCTGATGTTGTTGTGAGCGCGAAAGGTGCACCCTCCTACCGGAATTGAAGCGGGAGTTAAGGCAGCAAGCCAAGGCACGAGAATTTGAGCACTTGTGAATGGATAGTGCTCGAATAGATGTGCCCGGCTTAATTAGAGACTGCGAGTGAGGAGCGGGCTTGTTTTGTTGAGGGAGAGAAAACACAATCAGTGGACACATGCTGAGATCTTGCATGCTTGAGCGGTCACGTCGGAGTGCGAGACCTGGAGCTGGTGAAGCACCAGCGAGAAAGCGGGAGAGTCGCATGAGCCGAGTGGACTTCTAGGTACAGGATTAGATTTGGTTGCATCGAGCTTGGGTATGACGGGTGCCTAGGGGGGAGCCTCGCCGGTGCTACAACTGTGGAGAAGTGGGACACTTGAGCATGGCTTATCCAAAGCCACCCAAGCAAAGAGAGACGGGTGGATGTGAACAGTCTATAGGTCGTGATCATAAACGTGGGGGCCCAAGGGGTGGAAGAGGACACTACTAGGAAAATATGATGGTAGCAAGAAACGAGGGAAAAATAAGGGTAGTCTTTATCGATGAGGATCATGAGTTATTGGAGATGTTGAAGAGGAAATAGAGAGAAGCAGATAATGTGATTGAGGATACATCCATATTATCGTCATCCAATGGAAACACTGCTAGTTATGCTCACTCAACCAAATGTACTCGTGATACATGTGCTCTTGTCTCTATATCAACCACGAGAACACCAGAATGGATAATAGATTCTCATGCATCTTGACATGTGACAGGTAATGCTATGGAATTCTCTTCCTATACTCATTTAGTAATTCCAGATAGCATTCAAACTGCTGATGGTACAACACAACTTGTGGTTGGTAAGGGTACAGTGAGGGGTACCGATTCTTTCCAGTGAACTTTTATCCATTAGTGTCATTATTCTTCAATTAAATTGTGATGTTTCATTTGATATTCCTAAGGTGATCTTTCAAGAGAAAGGGACTGGCCGAAGGTTTGGGACTGACACGTGGCATAGTGAACTTTGATACTAGGGTATAGCTGGGATGAACTCACCCTTGACATCCATGGTTGAGAATGCTAGAGCAGGAGAATCTGAGAGGAGTGTGGGGAATATATTACCGCTACATCACAAACGCATGTAATACTCTTCATTCAGTCTATTGAGTCGTTTGAATACATCATTGTATGAAAAAGCAAACAGGGAGAAACTTGTGTGTGATGCTTGCGAGTTTGGCAAGCTCACTGGGAGCTCTTATGTCAGTTATGGGAATAAGAGCTCCAGCGTAATTTGAAGCATTTTGATGTATGAGGATTTTGTTCTACAAATTCGATGAATGGTATAGATATTTTGTGACCTTCATTGATTATTATTCTCATTTTACTTGGCTATATCTGATGAGGAACAAAAACGATGTGTTTGCTTTCTTTAAAGACTTTCACAGAGCGATTCAGACTCAATACGGTGCAGTAGTGAAGGTATTGAGGTCTAATAATGAAACAGAGTATACCGATAGACGTTTGAAGAGTACCTGTCAACCCAAAGGATACAACATCAAACCGCGGGCCCATACAATCCAGCACAAAATTGAGAAGCTGTGAAGAAGAATCAACATCTTTTAGAAGTACCTGGAGCATGATGATATCCATGAGTGACCCACAACATTTATGGGGGTAAACAGTGTTGATAGCCGCTCAATTGATTAATAGAATGTCTTCAATAGTGTTGGAGTGTAAGACTTCTAGTCAGATATTGAAAGGAGACAACAGTGGAATCCTTATATTGAAGGTGCTTGGATGTGTATTATGTGAAAGACAATAGATCATCTGTAAGAAAATTGGATCCCAGAGCTGTGAAATATATGTTTATGAGTTATTTTACTACTCAGAAAGGTTATAGCTATTGGAGCCCGATTGAGAACAAACTCTTTGTGAGTATAGATGTGTCATTCAGAGAGTTTGAACTATACTACACTCTAGAATCGAATTCACCATTCAGTGACGTAACGGACACTGAAGATATGAGGCAAGAGAGAGTGAGAAGTAGTGGTGATGGAGTGATGCAAGTGGGATCAATTCCATGTCCTGCGATATGGGATGAGTCAATTGAGGAGAATGAACTCAAAGGTGGTGGAATTCATGCTGAAGGTAAGCTAAGGGTGTAGAAGCAAACTGAGAGAACAGGGTATGTTGTGCCAACAAGTCTCTTGTCTCGGTCTTTCATAACTCTTGATATACCTATATTGTCCACCTTTGATTCAAAACTCCCAGGTGATATTATTCTTCCTCTGTCCACTCCTAATCCCCAAACGTTAAGGAGGACCTCTCACAGCAATGCAGGACATCTTCCTGATCGTTTTAGGTGGGAACTTGGCATTGCGAACTTTATTTCTTATTCTAACATTTCACCTTTGCATGGAGCGTTCGCTATATCATTGGACTGTCTCTATACCAAAGTGTTAGTAGGTAGCTAAAGAGGATCCAAAGTGGAAAACTATCATGCATTGTTTCCCTTTGGCACAACACCTCCAAACAAACGATCCAACTTCTCCAGCTCAAGATCAATTCCACTGTATTTAAATTTTTTTTGCGGCATACATCATTTATAAAGTCATATAGCATGTTGGATTTGAAAAAAACTTAAAAATTAACAAAAACATGGGACATTTCAAAATGCTCGCCACTAGTTTTCTGTCCACCACTCCTCGAAAGTATCAATATTTCTCTTTATCAGATCTCACCCTAAACCCATTGATCCTATCTTCAATTCTTTCAAGATTTTTCAATGCACTTTTAGTTGATCTCATTTGTTTTTTAACTGCATCATATCATACTTTATGCCTGTACTTGGATTTTCTAATAATATTTTGTCAGTATTCCTTATTGAAATAAGTTGTCGGCCTATTTCTCAATTCGACCTTCTTAAGGTAAATGTCGCAAAATATTAATTGTCTCATTATCCCACATTGCAGATGAACCGACCTATTTTGTCTTAACCATTGTATCACTAGTATGAAAAAAAATAATCAACATAAATAGGAACGCCACAATATCACAACTCAAAGAAAAATAGGAATGCCACAAGATCATCTTTAATGCCCCTTCACACCACAATACACCTACATATCACCACTGTTATCACCTCCGCACAACAACACATCAAGTCACCAAAACATCCACACCACCACCACCACCTCCAGACACCAACCACCATTTCCACACATCCTCTAGCATAAACAAAACATCACACCAACCACCACCTCCGCAACACCGCCACCTCCACACATCCACCAACACATCCTCTAACACAAACACAATCATACACCAACCACCACCTCCCCACATCCTCTAACACAAACACAACCATACACCAACCACCACCTCCCCATATCCACCAACACATCCTCTAATACAACCACCTCCACACACAAACCAACATACACCACCACATCCACACACAAACCAACGCACACCACCATCTCCACATCCACAACATTGCTATCAACAAATCAAACACCCTCTTTCAGTCATTTTTTCAAATACTTTGTCACATATCAAAGGTAAAGATAAAACCCCAACCGTTTTTCATTTGATGCAATTTCATACAGGGCACCCGAAACAATGCTATCAACAAATCAAGCACACATTATTTTCAAATTTTCTGCCAAACATAAAAGATGAAGATAAAACCCGACCCCATATTTTTCATTTGATGCAATTCCATACAGGGCACCTGAAACATTGCTATCAACAAATCAAGCACCCCCTTTCAGCCATTTATCAAATTCTCTTTCAAGCATCAAAGGTAAAGATAAAACTCCATCCCAATTTTATCATTTGATGCAATTACATAAAAAGCACTTGAAACATTGCTATCAACAAATCAAGCATCCTCTTTCAGCCATTTCTTAATTTCTCACTCAAACATCAAAGATATAGATAAAACCCTATGTCATATTTTTCATTTGAGGCTACTAAATACAGAGCAGCCGAAACATTGCTATCAATAAATCAAGCATCCCTTTTTAACCATTTTGCATACTCACAATCAAACATCAAAGACAAAGATAAAACCTCATTCCATGTCACATTCAACCACAAAAAAGAAAAATGCAAATTCCAAATCATAAAGAGAAAGCCACAAATCGTAAAATCCAAATACTCACTTCAAACCGCAGATGAGAAAGCCAAAAATAGCAAAATATAAATTCTCACTTTAAACTGCAAATGAGAAAGCCACAAATCGCAAAGAGAAGGTCATTCCATAAAAAAAAGGCAATACTGTGGGAGGACGAAAAGCACATTAAACAGACAGAGACAGAGAGCCAAAGATCGAAAGGAAAAGAGACAGGAGAGAGACAACCTGTTGCCACTGGAAAGACGCGAGAAAGTAGTGATCGAGAGAGGCGTAAAATAGGGCAGAAGAACCGCGAGAGAGAGAGGGCAGCAGTGAAAGGGGAGCACCGAGAGGCATACGAGTAATAGGTTCGCAAAGAAAAGCAGACCGCGAGGTCAAACCCACAGCCCGCATTTAACATAAATTTTTAAGTAACGCTACCACGCCGCGGTTTCCAAACGCCTCATCTAGTATTTTCATAACGCACCGCGCCAAATAAGCTGCCCCAAACGGGCTGTAAATTTCTTATTATCTCTATTATATTTTTAATCGTGATGTAATACAAGATAGTGCTTATTGTTTCTATATCATAAATTAATCGTGATGTAATACCACACATCATTCCATATTCTCTAAAGAGGCAAACATTATGTAACGTATTGTGTGAACATTATTGCAACAATATACCTTAAGAGCATGTGAAAAGCCAGATTGATACACCGAATTCCTTGCAATCTCGCACAAATCACAAGAAGTTAGCTTCCACACCTGCAAGAGAAAAAAGCTTAGCGTTGGGACAATTAAGTCTGTAATTAAGAGAAATAAGATGGGAAAGAATGTTTTACTGAAGCTGCAATGCTGTATTCCTCCACCAATGGTTCTTTGGTGAGATGAATTTGAAGAGGATCGTCAGTGGAAAGAGAAACATTAAGACCCCTTTGGAAAAACAAAGGAAAAGGGTTTCGATGGTAATCCAGAAATAATGAGTTGTTGCTCAAAGGTGACATTGCCAGACCAATCTGAAAAAGAAGCCGGAAAGTTCGGAAAGTTCACAATATATGTAACAATATATGTATATATATATATATATAATTGTTTTATTTTAGAATGTGATTGTGAAAAAGTAAAGCTGATTATTACCAAACACAATAATCACCATATGTAAAAATGCATTAGGGGATATTTGGGATCATTTTAAGGATTTATTTTTTATTTATTATTATTATTTTTTTTTTACTTGCAACGAAACATGTTTAATATTTTCTAACATGCTTAATTGTTTTTAAAAACACTCAAAACAAGTTTTATGTATTTTGAGTGTTTTTTATAAAATTTCATTTTATTTTTAGAAATAAAAAACAAAAGCAAGCAAAAAAATCACGAAATAAATAGATTTTTTAAATAAAATAAAAAACAAATAGCAAGAAAATAAAAATGATACCAAATAAATCCTAAACAATTAGATTCAAAAAAGGGAGACAGTGTTTGGATGCCAGGAAAAGCTCGAGCTACGCAAGAGATTTGGATAATAAAGATCTATTTGATATCAAGAGTAGTTATTAAATAAATTTTGAAAATAAAATTTAAGAATAAAAAGTAATACAAAGCATAAAAGATATATGAGAGTACACTTTTCGAAACTTCTACTTGCATATCTTTCAACTTGTATCCATAAATTTGAACAACTGACATTTAAAGTAACAGCAAGACAAATTATAGTTACATTTCAAATTATCAATGAAGCCAATCTTAAACATTCAAAATTTTTAAAAGAAAAGTGAAGGATGATGTAGAAAAATAAGCTCTACTAAAACATTATTAAATACCTGAGCAAGATAATATAAGTACTGAAGGACGGGTGATTTACGCAGATTAATTCCATGGGCAATGTTGTGAGCAATAAGAAATGTTGCGGCGAGATGGTCAATATCACCAGCCTGTCAAAAATCTTCATGAGAAACTTGGTAGTTTTCAAGAATGGAGGAAAAGAGGGTAAGTACTGATTATAACCTCCCCAGAATGCGGGCGAAACTTAATGGTATTCATGCCCTTCGATTCGCGAAGCTGAAAATCAAAATGCCCAGAAAATAAATTTCATAGCTATTAAGGCACCAGTAAAGAACTAGAGTCATATTTCACCCTGAATGCTACGATATTATCATGGGACATTTACATACATACCACACAATTCTTATATGTTTGCATGTCAAACACCTAAACTTTCATGTTTACATTCATAACACTCACATTCTTAACATCACATAAAAAAGGATTACTTCATTAACTTTTTAAAAGTCAAATGCGCCTTTTCATCTGTCAGCTTATAGTGCTGAGGTGATAAATGTAAATATTAAATTTTAGGTGTTACATACATAAATCCTAAAAATTGTTGCTTCGTTTGCAAATTTCCCATATTATTATGGGGCATTTACATATATGCCACACAATTCTTATAATATTTGCATACCTAACACCTAAATTTCATATTTAATTGCATACCACTCAAATATTTAACATTACAACAAAAATATCACTATAACTAACTTTTTAAGTGAAATATATCAAGCTTTTAAGTGTTAAACATGCAAGGAACAATGTGGTATGGATGAAAATTTCACTATTATTTATCATAGAAAAAATTTGAAAAAAACACTCCATACCTTGTTTAGTGTATATAAATTTGCATAACAATAGTAGGCATAGTATGAGAATGCAGGATTAAAAATATTGGTCCATTGGGCTGGTGTGGGCATGTGTTTTGTTGGACGTCTTTCAGGCTTGCTTTCATCATCCACCAAATCCAAACCTACAACCTGGAAAAACAAAACACATGTAAAATACGTGACAAATACGGGTCCAAATCATTTAGGGGCCATTTGGGATTATTTTCATTTTTTTTATTTTTTATATTTCAGTTTTTTATTTTGTTTTGTTTATGTTTTTAAATAAAATAAAACATATTTGATTATTTTTAAAAACACATAAAACAACTTTTAAGTGTTTTGAGTGTTTTTTAAAAACAAGTTAATTTATTTGTTGAAAATAAAAAAAATAAATATGAAAGAAAATACACTAAACAAATATATTTTTAATATAAAAGAAAAAAAAAAGATCCCAAACAAGCCCTTAGACGAGAATAGAGGCTATAGTAATCTTCTTTATGTAATACAAAACTGAAAAAATCATCATCAAATTATTGATTACGAAAGCAATTATAGCATTATTACTCCCGTAAAGCTTCCTTAATTTATGTTATCTATCAAAACTTCTAATATATGGAAGGGGCATTTACATACATACCACTTAATTCCTATGAATTTACATATGTGACACCCAAATTTTGCGTTTTACATTCATACCACCCAAATCATTCAAATCACATAAAAAAATACCACCATTTTAACCTTTGAAGAATGAAATATATCTTTTCATGCATAAGTAAGGTGGTATGGATGTAAAAAATGAAGTTTAGATGTTAGATAATGTAATTACATGGGAGTTGAGTGTCATGCATGTAAATCTTCCTATATTAAATTAAGATTAAAGTATTCCAAGAAAGAAAATGAGAGAATAAAGTGCAAACATAAAAAATGGTGATGAAGACAAACCTGTTTTAAGAAAGTATGTAACTGCGGATGTGAATCTGGATCAACAGTAACCTCAAAAAGAGGAAGAAAAATATTGTCAAGCAAACTCTGAAATGATGTTACAATCCCCATTTCTTTGTATACATTATATAACCGTGGAATCTGTAGCAGAAAACAAAGAAAGTTTTCTTGTAAAGCTGGCACAATTCCAAATAAAAACAAACTTTGCAATTTAGAAAAAAATATTCTAAAGCAAAAACTATATAACTAGAAAACGAAATAATGCAATATCACACAATTGCAACGAGTTTCTAGTTGGAAAGAACCAAAATACACCATAAAAAATAACTATAAAATAACAAAATATGAATTTATATGACGGAAGAGGAGACCGCCCAAGAATCTAATTTATAGAATCTTGCTTTAAATCTAATAAGCTTTGGAGACTGGCGGTATATTTTCTTTATATTTCTGCCCCTCCTGGCAAACAATTTAAAATCTTTTGTCCACACAATACTTCAATTTAAAGAGTAATACCTTATGTATTCAATAAACTAAATGGGTTGGAGAAAAGGCTAAGGAGATTGATAACTTAGGTTTTAAACTTTGAAGAGTCGCACTAAAAATGGTGTTAGTGTAATTATAGATAAGAGTGAAAGATAATATTGCAAAAAATTAATAGAGTTGATAGAATTATAGCCCTTAAGATTATCATTGATACTAAGATTTTTAATATTATAAGTGCTTATGCTCCTCAAGTAGGTTTAGATATAAGGTCTAAAGATATATTCAGGAATGGCTTAAAAAACTTAACACAAATGATACCACTTGAAAAAAGAACTTTTATTGGAGAGATTTAAATGGACATGTCGATAGTGGTGGAAGATTTCAGAAATATTCATGTGACTATGATTTTAGAGTGACTAATGAAGAAGTTAGAGCTATGTTAGATTTTGCTTTAACGTATGATTTTGTTATTACTAATACTTTATTCAAGAAAAGAGATAAACATCTTATTACTTATAAGAATTGATCTAATAAAACACAAATTGATTATTTTCTTATAAGAAGAAAATATCGTCAAGATTATAAAGATTGTAAGGTCATTCTAAGTGAGAATTTAAGTATCCAACATCGTTTATTAGTTCTAGATTTTAAGATGAAAAGTTGTAAAATAAAGAATACTATGATTCATCATCGTAGAATTAGATGGGAGAATATAAAAGACAAATAAAATTATTTTTATGAGTAAAATTCAAGATTTCAAAATTTGGGATATTAATGAAGAAGCAAATGCGATGTGAGATAAAGTAACACACTATTAAACAAGTAACAAAAGATATATTTGGAGAAACAAAAGAAAAAGTTTCAATAAATAAAAATCGTTGGTGGTGAAATAATAATGTGCAAGAAAAGATAAAATATAAAGATAAAATATAAGAAGTTATGATAAAATATAAGAAGTTATGTTATAAAAGTTAGTTTAAATTTAAAAGCTTAGAGAATTGAGAAAATATCAAACAACCCGTAGGAAGTTTAAAAGAACAATCTATGACGCTAAAAATTCTACTTTTAATGATCTTTATAATGTATTGGATACTAAAAATGGTGAAAAATATATGTATAAGCTAGTCAAACAAAGAGAAGAAAATTAAAGATTTAACTTAAGTAAAGTATATTAAAGATGAAAAATAAAAAAATGATTTTCTTAGAAAAAGATATTCTACATAGGTGAGTGAGTTATTTTGATAAACTTTTTATCGATGTTTCTGAAAATATGATTGACCTTAGTGGTCTTAATATCGTTAATAATAATAAAACGTTTCATTTTTATCGTCGCGTTAGTAAAAAAGAAGTTGAGGAGGCTTTAAAGAAAACTAAGGGTGGAAAGTCTGTAGGACCTGATGATATCCCAATGGAAGTATGGAAATATTTAGGAGATTTGGGAGTTTCTTGGGTTACTAAACTCTTTAATATTATTTTAAATACTAAAAAGATGTCTGTGGAGTGGGGGAAGAGTATTTTGGTCCCCATTTTTATGAATAAAGGGAATGCACAAGAGTGTTCAAATTATAAAGGAATTAAGTTGATGTGTCATACTTTAAAATTATGGGAGGGTAATTGAACATAGGTTAAGACGTATTACAAATATTTCTCATAATCAATTTGGATTTATGTCGGACAGGTCTACCATGGAAGTTATACATTTATTGAGAGGTTTGATGGAGAAGTTTAGAGATAATAAAGAGAATCTACATTTGATTTTTATTGATTTAGAAAAAGCTTACGATAAGATTCTAGGAGATATCCTTTAGAGAGTTCTTGAGAAGAAAGATGTTGATATGACTCATATTCAAGTCATTAAAGATATGTATACTAGAGTAGTTACTTGTGTTCGAACTGAAGGAGGATTGACCAAATATTTTCCTATTTCTGTTGGATTACATCAAGGATTGGCTTTAAGCCCATGTCTTTTTGCTTTAGTTATGGATGGTCTTACTGGACATTTATAGAAGGATGTACCTTGGTGTATGTTTTTTGTTGATGATATCCTTCTCATGGATAAGAAGAGAGAAAGAGCCCAGGAAAAAAACTTGATTTATGAAGGTCTACATTGGAGTCTAAAGGCCTTCATTTGAGTAGAGCAAAAACTGAATACATGGAATGTAAAAAGAGCAAAAACTGAATACATGGAATGTAATTTTAGTAGTAGTGGGTCTAGTGACAGAAGTGTAACTTTGGGTGATCTAATTATTAAAAGGTGTGAACGATTTAGATATATCGGGTTTGTTGTACAAGCGATAGTGATATAGATGGGGATGTTAACAGTAGAATTCAAGTTGGTTGAAGTAGAGGAATGCTTCGGGCCTTTTGTGTGATAGAAAAGTACCGCTTAGACTGAAAGGACAATTTTATAAGACGGTGGTGAGACCTACAATGCTCTATGTCATTGAATGTTGGCCTTTAAAAGAGAAGCATAATACAAAGTTAAGGCGTTCTCGAGATGAGAACGATTAGGTGAATGAGTGGCTTTATACTTAGAGACAAAATGTGAAATGAATATATCCGTGATAGGGTTGGTGTAGCTCCTGTGACGGACAAAATTAGAGAAAGTCATTTTAGATGGTTTGGTCACATTAAATATCGACCATCTGAGATCCAATTAGGAGAGAAGATGTTTTAGATTCGACTTATGTTAAGAAAGACAAAGGTAGACCTAGGAAGACGAGCTTATTGTATAAAAAATGATTTTAATTTATTAGAAATAAATGAAAATATGATACTAAATAGGACATAATGGAGAAAAAGAATTCATGCAGCCGACCACCTGCAGTGGGATTAAGGCTTTGTTGTTGTTGCCAACATAATTCTTTACATCTCAACCCCACGATAGATGCCCCAACTCTTTCAAGGCAAATGTGGATAAGACAGCACGAAAAAAATAATAAATTAAAGAATTAATTAATATTTAACCCATTTAAAAGTCCTAATAATACAGCTTCAAAATGTCATTGAGATTGCCACAAAACTTTAAATACAACCATGATTTCACTACAACAAGATGATACTCCACAATTGTAAAAAAAACATTTTTAATCTCTTATCTTTCACTCTCTCTCTCTCTCTCCCCCTCTCTTCTTTAATTACTCCAATAGCTAATTTTATATCTCTAATCTGACTAATAAAAAAAAAAGCTACTCTCTGATTTAATCCCAATTAATGCACAGCTTAAGCCCTCAAACCTTTATATATATATATATATATATATAGAAGGTTAAAGGAAATGATTTCAAACCTAATTAATTCTTAAATATTGACTCAAAAGTTATCTAAATAACAAATTAGCTAACAACCTTCTAATATGATTGACAAAAAATTTTATCTCTACTCATTCTAAAAGACCGCAAATTTTAAAGTTTCACTTGACTAAATTATCAAGTCAAGATCCTAACATATAGCACTTATATATAATATACACATTCAATTCAAAATTAAAGAAGCAAAAATATTTACTAAATGAGTGGGAATGAAATAAACTCCACAAACTAAAAAAGCACCGAGTAAAGAATGAAATAGTCATGATAGTGTCTTAAAAAACATAATGGAATGGGCAGCAATACCTGTATTAACCACACAACATTCTCACTATATAATTCATTATTTACTATCCAACTTGCAAGTTGATCCCACTCGCTCTGCTTTCTCCCGTAAATTGAAACCCTATACTCAGCCATCTGAAATAAGAAGGTACAAATAATGAGGCTTTGAGTTAACTAAAGAACAAACATAAAATGCAATAATTTACAGATTTATTTATGTAGACTAAAGAGAAGTACAAATGATTATATCACCAATTAAACTAATCATGCATAAAATTAAAGAATTAAAAGTGTAAAATTGTATAGGGAGTATCCATTGTGTATCTAATTAACTGGGAGGAATGCCTTGAAATAGGCAAATATAGTAAATATAAAAGTTCTTTTTCAAATGAAACAGGAGATAGCATCAAATATGAAAATCGTATCTCGAGCTAATAAACAAATAAGGTTTTTTCTTTTCAAAAAACAATTTTCCATTTAGTATTTTCCAACACTCCCCTTCAAGCTGAAAAATATATAATTAAGCTTCAGCTTGTTACATACCTTGAAAAACTGAACTAGAACCAGAACAATGGCAAAACATAGTTCAAAGTTGGGAACATGGACAGTTATAATTTTCTATGAAAGTACTACATCTCCAATAAAATGACTATCAACTTCAGTATAATTTGTTCCGACATGAAACGCAAAACCACTAAATATGAGGTTAATTACAACAATTTCAAATAATAGATCGAGTAATTTGAAACAAATTTCCCCGAGAAATATTTCAGCCCGTATTATCACAAATATAGAATGTCATGGCTCTATATTTTGCCTCAATATGAGCTGGTTAACACAATTTATTTTTCACTCCATATGACCAAATTACCTCCCGCAAACATAGAATATCCAAATGTGGATTTCCTATCATCAACGCACCCAACAAAATTAGCATAAAAGAGAACTTTTACACCTAGAAATCCAAACTTCTTAAAAAAAGGTCCTCTCCCTTGTAAAATAACCATAGGAATGATGTTAAACAAAAATAGAGTGATATGCTAGGGTGTTGCAAACACCAACTTCAATATTTTATCAGAGTTTAAAACAATGAGTATGTTGACAGCAACAACTTGAATTACACCCTCAGTTATATAACATATAGGTAAGCGAGGAATTTTTATTAAAGTTATTTTACTTATTTTAAGGAAACCACTAAAACAAATTGCGTACACCTCGCCAGAATTGAGGCATGCCTCGAGGTAGAGTGGGCCTCATAATATGTGAGACACATACCTTCTTGCAAAATTTTCAAGGGGGCTTTACATATATAGTCTTCCAAACATTTAAAATTACAAATCTTGCACCTAAACTCTCATAATTACATTTAAAACACTCTATTACTGAAGTTAGCCATTTAACGGCTCCCGCGGCCGAATCTCAATGCTTTGACAACGAGTGAAAGCCTCCCACATCATTTGCCTCCATGCACTCACCATGCCAACGCCATGGCCTTTGCCTCCCACCCCATCGACTCAATTTGGAGGAGGGTCAGCCGGTCTTCGAGCTCTGAAAGGCAGAAAACATGCAGTCTCTCGTTCTACTAGAACAATATAATTTTAGATCAGATAAAGAACGAATCACTAACTTAAGCGACGAATCTACGACCAAACAGGGGAATCACTTTCGAAATAGTTAGCCATACAAGTGATCATCTAATAGAGGACCCGCAGAATGGAGCATAAGTACCAACAAATGGGGCAGTACGACTCTGTCATTCCCATGCGAGTTTAGGCAGATAGGTAACGAAGGAATAACGGGGTTATATTATAGCAGCTACGTGTCATGTAGCTCAGGTGATTTTAATATTTCATTTCTTCCTTTTCTATTGCAAATCAGAGAAAGCTGCTCTAGCGAGCATTTGCAAAGACAGGACAGCAGCTCCATCGAGTCAGAAAGTAACTACTAGAGGAGGCATAGAACGAGCAACTACATGTCTTCTGCCTCTCAGAGCTCGAAGACCAGCTGGCCCTCCTCCAAATTGAGTCAATGGGGTGAGAGGAAAAGGCCATGGCGAGGCATCTATTGAAATGGTGAATGAGGAGTGCTTGGAGGCAAATGAGGTGGGAAACTTTCACTGGTAGTCGAAGCATTGATATCAGTCCAACAGAGCCGTGAAATTTGGCTAACTTCAGGAACAGAGTGTTTTAAATGTAAATATGAGATTTTGTGTTTGAGGTATGTAATTTTAAATGTTTGGAGAGCTATGTACGTAAATCCCCCAATTTTCAAACAAGCAAAGAGGAGAGCTTTATATTGCATGTATTCAAACCATGGTATGACTGCACACTAGTTAAAGTTTAAAATCTCTAGTTCAAGATCAGAGCATTTTCTATTGATCACACATGAGTCGAACATGTCTAAGAAGCTAGCCTATATGACATCAGATGCATTGAAAGTTTCAAAATTAAAGTATTAGATCGCAAGAAAAAGTTTTCTTTTATTTTTTTTTTCATACAATTTCCTAAGTAATAGAAGTTAAAAGGATGTTATATTTATATTCAACCAATCATCCAATATTCATAATTTTATAATAAGCTCGAGTTACAATCAGCCCAAACATGATCAAATTGGCTCCCATCCATGTTTAGCTCATTTATTAAACGAACTTATGATGCTTTTCAAAGTCAAATCATTTGTTTAAAAAACTAGCTAAACTAAGCCAATTCTTGTCTTTTTTTTTTTTTTTTTTGTATATATCAAGCAACATTGACAGGCTTAATCATAAATATTCACATCAAGTATACAAGACCCTAATGACTTTTTTAATTACTTTATGCAACTAAAAAACGAGATGGAATTTCACATGGAGGTGAAAGATAAGCATACGAAAACTATATAAGGGTGATTTCCATCAATTTTTCAACAACAAACTGGAAAACAATATGCATAACTATAATAAATAAAAAAGAATGGATATGGCATAGAGAAGGAGCCTCGCAAGTTGGAATCACCTGGTATTTGCTTGCACCCAGATCAGAAAATACTTGCTTTGTCAGTTCAGCAAGAAAACGACCTGGCAAATGAAACAGAAAAAAAAAAAATTTCTTATGTCAATGCTAACAAAATTAAGGAAGAACATGTACATAAAAGCTAAATATTAACTATTTTAAAATATATGCTCATTATTTTCATTTTAGCTACAAAACTTGTACATTTGCACATATCAAACAAATCGAGACTCGATGTAAGCGAAATATATAAGTTCACATTGGTTGAATAATTATAGTTGGAAAGGAAATCACGATGTGGTGCAGTAAACATGGTGAAAGTATAGCAGTAATTCATGAAATCTTGGTGTTATTTATTAGCTAGGAAAATAGAATGAAAAAAGTACAAGAACACAAGCAGAGAGTTCTCTAACCAAAAAAAATAAATAAATAAATTCTGTTAAAAGTAAATACGAATTTAAAATCATGCACTTCTGCGTAATTGGAAAGAAGAGGAAAAAAAAAGGTAAGGGCATTTACATACATATCACATAACTTTTATGCATACGCATATCCAACACCTAAACTTTCATATTTACATGCATACCACTCATATCTTTAATATCGCATAAAAAATACCACCATCACTACCTTTATAAAAGTGAAATACAGCTTTTCATGCATAGGTGTTAGATAGATAAATAGATATATATATATATATACAAGAATTGTGTGATATGTATGTAAATTTCCCAAAAAAAGTATACCTTGGATGAGATTATCCAGCTTCAAGAAAATTTCCCTAAGCCTGCTCTGGCCGCACGGATTGTACTTGAGATTGAACTTGTCAAAACGATGAAAGGTACTCTTGTCAGCATGAACATCTAGTAGGTCAACATTAAGATCATACCTAATTTGCAAATGAAATATTAAGAAAGAAGACAAGCATATAAGCACCTTTATGGGACAAAAGTGAAAATATGAGAATTACCCAGTCAAATCTAAGCTCTCAAAAACCTCTTTTAGAGTCAAGTAAGTTCCATCTCTAAAAATTACAACCTATTAAATAACACAAGCATAATTATCAGTAATCAAATGATTGCAAGAAGGAAAGAAAAAATTATCAAGAATATAATAATAATAGTAATAATAATAATTGCACCTCATCAGGTTCTTTCCTCAACTTTGATTTAATAAATCTTAAAAGATGCTTCTGGTTCATGCATGCTGAATGATGAACATGAGTATCAACCTTCCTAACATTATAGAAATCACGATGAGGTGCAGTTTTCTGCGCAAGAAATTCTCTATCCGCATTGAGCATCAAATGAAGATTGAATTTCTGTATCATAGAAATAAAAATAAATAAATAAATAATAATAAAAAAGACGCTAAGAGAATGAGTGGACAAAAATGCAAGTAAAGTTTCAAGTTGACAAAAGAAACTAGATTATGTTTCAGATTAGTCAGGCCATTACTTGTTCAAGAAGATTTAACCGATGATGACAAAGAGTTCGGATATTTCCCGCTGCAAGTACCCGTAGTATGTGATGCAAATCCGTAAAAAAGGTTGTGGCATCAGCAACAGAATATATCCTCTCTTTAGCTGAAGAATATGAAAACTATAATATTAAAAATTGGTTGGCAAGACTAGGCATATCAAAAATTGACCATACAAGCCAACATAAATCGAACTCGACTCAAAAAATACAAATTCGGGTTGACCCAAATTATTTTCATGTCAAGTTCGCGTTAGGAATCCAAACCCAGTTAAATTTTCATGTCATGTTTGGGTTGATTGACCAACCTAAGGTTGACCCAAAATGGCAAAATTGACTTGAATTTGACCTGCCTAATAGAGATTGACCTAAGATTGACCCGAAATTGACACAAAATCGACCTGAAATTGTCCTACAATCGATTTGAATAGTTGTTATGACTAACGTTAAATAGGTTATACGGGTCAGGTTTGGGTTGGACTTCCTGATCTGTTTAATATTCGGACTAGGTTCATATCAAGTAGTTTCGGGTTGGGTCAATTTTGGGCCAAAATTGAACCTGACCCGCGAACCCGATTTGACAGCCCTAGATAAGACCAGGGGAGAGGAAAAGCGATGGATTGGGCCAATGAATCAAAATGTACACTTAGATACTTACAATTTGCATTCGGATAAACATGCACAACCCCATCAACCATTTGGAAAGTATGCTGTAAATAAGGAAAAATAAAACAACTATTAAAAATGCCGGACACTAAACAAGTTATACAAACATAAGAGAAGTACATAAAACATCGAATTTGGCAAACTTACATCAGTTTTTTGCTCAGCTGCATAAGCAAAAGGATTTGGGTTGGGTTTTGGTGTACTTGGGTCAGTTATGATTTCCTTCTCCCATGGAGCAATTTCTTCTCTAAATAAATAGCTTTGTCTCATCTCAAGGCATTCCTGAACAATTTTGTAAACCTCAACTTCGTCCACGGATGGTGTCTCTATAATTGAAGCAAATTAAGAAAATAATCAGCCAGTTATAGAGCAAAATTTTTCAAAGAGTGCTGACAAGGAAACCAATTCAATAGCATGAATAAAAATAACAGGCATTTACATACATACCACAAAATTATCATGTATTTACCCATCTAACACCAAATCATTCATATTGACATGTACACCACACAAATCTTTATTATCACATAAAAAAAATGAAACCATCACTGCCCTATTAAAAGTGCAATACGCCTTCTCATGCATAGGTTTAGGGCACCAAAATTTTATAGATGTAAATATCAAACTTTGTGCGTTAAATATGTAAATACAAAAGAATTGTGAGGTATGCATGTGGATAAGTAAAATATAAAGGGAAATTTACATTAGTAGCACATAATTCTTATGTGTTTACATATCTCACACCTAAACTTTCATATTTACATAGATAACACTTTGGTGCTATAAACTATGCATGAAAAAGTGGATTTGACTATTGAAATTTGGTGGCAATGCTGTTATTTTTTATGCGACATTAAATATTTGAGTGTTTTGTGTGTAAGTACAAAAGTTTAGGCGAGAGATGTGTAAACACATAAGAGTTGTGTGCTATGTATGTAAATGCCTCTTTAAGCCACAATACAAGTACAACGTAAACTGTCCAATGACATTTCAGGCGGAAATTATATAAGCTCTAAAAATACATAGGAGGCATCCCTATAAAATGCAGGAAAATGGGTTTAAAAAAATGTTAAAAACTATTTTCATGGATAGAAATAATTAGAAAGATAGAGTTTTCTGTGAATTTCTGTCGCAATTAAGCATTCTTCATAATATCGACCCAAGATAAGTAATGAAAATGTAGCCAGCAAGACTCGAAGATAAAACTTCACTACCATTTGGCGTGATTTTAAGTCTGATAAATGTCTCTTGTTCAGGCTCTTTTCTCAGAATATCAGCAGCAATTGGATCCGGCTGAACACCGTGCAAATCGCCGGAAACACTATGTGACCGTATCATGTTAGCAGAAGGCAATGGCTTCGCCTCTGCGTTAACAATAATGCTGTCTGAGGTAGCTTGAAACAAATTAATGTGCTCTGATGCCTGCATAGAGATATTTGCAATTGAAATAAGTGGCATTTACATAAATAGCACCCAATTCCTATATATTTACATATCTAAAAATTTAAACTTTTTTTTTACATTTATACCAACCAAAGATTTCATATCACAGCTACACCTTTTTGTGCATAGGAAAGGAAGTATATATGTGTAAAAATTGAAGTTTAGGTGTCTGATATCTAAAAACATAGGAATTGAGTGGTATGTATCAAAACCTTCCATAAAACAATCGCTTTGGAAATGATTTAAACATTGAATAACTATAATATGGGAATGAAATTGAAAACAAATCATCAACGTTCCTCAATATTCAATAAAGCTGACGGTCAAAAGGGGTAAAAACATCATGAAGCATGCTTAGTTATGCATATACATTGAGATACTATCAAATTTTGGATGTTGGATGTGAAGCTAAATGAGGATAGATGACAACATGATAATGTCATTATGGTGATGCCTTCAACCATAAACCTGATATGAAAAAAAATTGCCAAATAAGTATAAGACAATCAATTTCACAAAAGGTGGCAAAATTGCCACCAGAAATCCAATTTTCTTTTATTCATGCCAAGGCCTTAAGAGAAACAATATTTGTCTGGTAATTCTGATTAGCGAGAAAACATGCATGACATAAGCCAACGCTAACCTCAGTAGGGCTCCTCAAGGCGTTCATGCTTTCAGAATTAGCAAAATTATTAAATTCAGAATCTCTAATGAATGATTTGTAATAATTCGCATCAAATGATGTTCCTCATTTAACACTCAACAAGAATAAAATGAGATTGATGATTACTAAATTTGAGTAATATGGGCTCTGCAAATTCTTGCTTTCTCCTAAGAGAGTTTAATTTGTATTGCGGCTCAAATTTTATTAGGCAAAATAAAACTAGATAAAACACTTTTTTAGAAATTTTGCTTTCATGTAACTAGATTTTATGATTTGGTATTAGTATTCTCATAAGCACAAGCTTTTAGGGTCATCATTGTAGAAATCACTTGGGAAGGAAAAATGTTTAATTTCATTATTCACATGCAAGTTATATAAATAGGAACGTGAATCCCTCCTAATTTACAAAGTTATTAATATATCTAGCCTAAATTAGGAAAGTAAAAAAATTCTGAAATAAAAGATAAAGAAACATAAATAGGAAAGGGAAAAACACAAATCAAGAGGCTCTCAAATTGATCTCCAATCAAATCTGCCATAAGATCTTGGATAGCTGGGAAACACCACACAAAACTTCTCAAATTTCCACACTCCCCCTCAAGTTGGGTCATTGATGTTGTAGAAATCAAGCTTGGTATTGAACTCTGAGAAAGTACTCAAAAGAAGAGCTTCAGTGAAGACATCAACAATTTCTTGACATGACGGGTTGTAGCTTAGCTGTATAATTCTCCCAATAGCATTTTAAGATATAAAGTGTCTATCAACTTTAATATGTTTGGTTCTATTATAATGCACAAGATTCTTGACAATACTGATAACTGCTTGACTGTCTAAAAACACATGTATAGGCCTATTGGAGGTAGATCCTAGTTCCCTTAACAATTTCTGAATGCAGGCCCGTTCACAAATTCCCAAGGCAAGTGCTATATACCCTAATTCTGCACTGCTTCTAGAAACATCAACTTTCTTTTTACTTTTCCATGTAACCAGGTTTCTCATACACACGAACCTTTTGTTAACGAGTTTTTCAGCCTAATTAGCATCAGTGTAGACTTCCACCACTCTATTTCTAGATTTCTCAAAAATTTATACATAACCATGAGATTTCTCGAGAAACCTCAGAATCCAATCCAAATACTCTCCATTTGTGCTCATATGTTGGCTCACAAAACTAATAGAGTATGCAATATCTAACCTAATATGTGACAAATAAATGAGTTTTTTAAAAAAAATCTTTGATATATTCTATTATCCACAAATATGCTTTCTTCTTCCTAGTTAAACTTCTTGTTGTGTTCCAATGGAGTATTAGCAAGTTTGCATCCAATCATCATTGTTTCCTTTAGTAGATCTAGGATGTATTTCCTCTGTGAAATATCAATGTTTTTCTTGAACCTAGCAACCTTCATACCTAGGTCATTGATTTCAAACTCACGGCAAGCACTTCTTAGATTTTAAGAATTTATTTCATCATCACTGCTAAGAATTATATCATCCACATATATAATTAGTGCATCAATTTTATCTCTCTAGGTGTATTATGAACAATGTGTGATCAGCGTAATATTGAGAATATCCATTGGAATTCATAGTTCTAGCAAACATTTCAAACATCTTTGATGATTGCTCAAGCCCATAGAGAAACTTCCTGAGTTTGCATACTAGATATTTGTTGGAAGCATTCTCAAGTCCTGCTAGTACCTCCACGCCCGCTTCTTCCAGATCCACATTCAGAAAAGTATTTTTTATGTCAAGTTGATACAATCTCAATTCCTTGTTAACTGTTACTCAAAGGAGAACTCTAGGAACTAGTGTGAAGGTCTCCTGGGAGTTAATCCCATAGGCTTGCCTGAAACATTTTGCAAAAAGTCCGACTTTGAATCTCTCAATACTCTTGTTAGCTTTGTATTTGATGTTAAACAATCACTTGCGACCAACTGACTTCTTAACCTGAGGAAATTTAACAAGAACCCATGTGCTATTATATTGTAGTGCCCAAATCTACTCTTTCACTATTTTCCTTCATTCTGGATTTTCAAGAGCTTCATGAATGAATTTAGGAATCTGCACACTATCAATATTAAATATAAAAGCTCTATAAGTTGTAGATAGTTTCTCATAAGCTACATGCTCCTGAATTGGGTATCTAGTGTAGCTTTCTTTATCATCAGCATTAGAAGATGAAGAGGATAACCCATAAGTACTTGGATCCTCATCAAAAAATTTAGGAAAATATGGTCTTGGGTTGGTTTAGAGCAACCTATCTTCGCAAGTTGTCTTATGCATTCTCAAATTTTTTCTTCCTCCTAGCGTACACACGAGTTCTTTGTTGTGGACTTCAGGTTGGGTTGGTTGGATATCCTCATTAAGAGTGGGAGAATCAAGTGGAAAATGTGTGGAAAAAATTGTATATGAGGTTACAGTGTATTTGTTATCAAGTGCATCCCAAAATTGATATTCATTTGTACTCTCCTCCTAAACAAAAAGTGATATCCATAGAGTTGTAGTATTTTTTGGTAATATATAACATTATCCCTTTTTGTTGGAGGTGTTCCAAGGAAAATACACTTGATAAATTTAGGGTCAAGTTTGGTGCAAATTGGGGAATTGATATGAACAAAGAATACGCACTCAACGATTTTTAATAGTATAGTAGGAGAGAGCTGTAAAGTGAGGATATGTAACCATCAAAACATGAAGTTTTGTTTTGAAGTTAAGTGTCCGGTTAGACATTCAATTAGTAAGATATATTGCAATAACAACTGTTTTTCCAAAAAAATATTTTTGAACTTAATAAAAAATCATAATTAAGTGGGATATCTCAAGAAAATATATGTTATTCTCTCTTATAACTCATTTTGTTATAGGTATCAATACATGAACTCACTTGGATGATTCTATTCTTCGAAATGTAGGATCCACTGATGGAGTTAAATATTCCTTTACATTATCAGTATCAAGGATATGAATTTTACATTGGAATTGAGTTTGAATCATGTCATTCAAGGTTTGAGATATTTGAGTTGTTTAAGATTTCTCTTCCATTAGAAATACCCAAGTAATTCTAGTGTAATCATCAATAAATGGGATAAACTATCAAGCTCCACTTAAGAGTTTTCACCTTTAAAGGTTTTTAATTATCATTGTGAATAACGAAAAAAAGGTGTGAGGGATTATACTAAATCATGAGAAAGCTATTTCTAGTGCGTTTGATAAGTTGATAAATCACATATTGATAAAAGTTTGATTTTTTATTGTTAAACAAATGAGGATACAACTTAACAAAATAATTGAAATTAGAATTTCCTTGGAGACAATGTCATAACATGATCTTTTTTTTTACAAGCAAGCTCCACGGACTCAAAATTTTGAGATGAATATAGTGGTGGGATAAGATGTGTGTTTAGAGAAAAACTTTCCTTAAGCGGATATAAATCTTGAAATATTTCAACATTGTCAATCACCTTTCCCAATTCCACCACCTACAATTCATAAGAGTTTGCAAGAAATTTAGTTATACATTTCATATCATGAGAAAACTTACTGATTGAAATCAAATTACAAGCCCAATTATGGAACATATAAAGCAAAGCAAGTAGTAATATCCTGAGAGAGCTCCACATCTACTTTTCTAGCAATGTTTGAGTGTGATTCATCTGCAAGTCTTACCGCTAGATGTAGAAGCCTCCTGATAGTTAACTAGAGCATTGATGTCTCCAGTCATATGATCATATGACATTAGTGTCTCCTTATAATTAACAAGAGATTTCTGAATCTATGATTGAAGTTATTAATCTCTCATTATTGGCAAGATGAAAGAAGGATATATTAAATTAGTGTTTTCTAGGGTTGGTGTGTTGTTTTAATTACCTCCGAGAAGTTTTTTCAGTACATCAAGCTTCTCCTTAGTGAATGATTCCGCCGTTATTTTAGATGTGGTAGCAAAATTAGATTTTTTTCTCTTGATATTTCTTTTGTTGTCCAGGTTTCCAGTCTATAGGCTTTCCATGAAGTTTCGAGCATTCTTTTTTATATGGCCAATCTTCTTGCAATTGTCATGTAGGATGATTCTTTTTGAGCTTTGACTCATGGGAAGAACTATGGTTGTACAGGGTTGAGCTTTCAGTACTTAGTGAACCTTCGTTTCCAGTTAGTATCAGCTTCTTCCCGCTCTCCTCTCCTAACTTCAGCAAAAGCTTTAGACGAAAGGGGTTTTCATCCCATAATCCTCCCTCTCACCTCACCCAATTTCTAAGTTAGTCATACTATGAATTTGATGGTTCTTTTCTTCTCGATGATGGATTTAAATGTCACGGCATCATGTGAACTTTTTCACATCTCAAACATATCCAATTATAGCCAATACTTTGTATGGGTGTTGAAGTCTTGGGTGAGACTTAACTCTCCTTAACGAATATCATGAAGCTTGATTTCGATCTCAAACAACTCTATAGCATTCTCAATGTTAGAATATGTTTCCCTTCTGGCCTCCCATATATCTTTGACAGTTTTGTATAGTAAAAAATTATGTCACTTTAGAGGTCATTGAGTTGACTATCCACAACATAATCATATAACATTGATTCTTCCATGTGCGATTGTTGGGATCAATGATCTCGAGAACCGCGTCCTTTCCCCATGAGATGTTCTTCTTTCTCTTTACCACAAATGTATATAAATACTACTCGGGATGAGCAAAGGTAGTCATGACTATTGAGTTTGTGATTTGTGATAAAGTTTGGGAGTTGCCTGGGCAGAATTCCTAGTCTCTAGTTTAGAACTAACCTCTGAAGTAGAACTAGACGTCCATATCACGTACTTGGTCATCAACCTTAAGCGTATTTAGGCTTACTTTTAGTTGTTAGACTACAGTTTACTATACCTACTTGATGTCGTTGTTGCAGCTTCTGCTTCATGTTGTTGCTTTGGCTTCCTGCTGCAGCTTTTATCGTTGCACACAAAATATTTAGCCAAAAGAAGGGGGCCCACATAATAGAAAATTTCAGGTTGCTGAGAGAATTTTCGAAGGGCCTGCAGCAAGGAGAATTTTTGTTACAGGGAAGAGTTGTGAAAGGGCCTATAAGGAGAAATTCGGCCAAAGAAGTTTCAACTGTCTACAAGGAAGAGTTTCCGGTTGCAATTTGGTAGGAAGCTAGTCTGGCTGCAGGAGGGAATTATGGCTCTGGCATGAGGGAGATTTGGCCTTGCATGAAAGAAATCCAGTTGCAAGAAGGAGATTCGGCCTAGCAGAGGAGGTTCAACAGCTAGAGTAAGATCTGAAGCTCTGATATCATGTATAAATTACTTAAGAAGGAAAATTGCTTAATTTTCTTATTCACATGTAGGGTACATATATAGGGACATCAATCCCCAATAGCTTACAAATTTACCAAATATATCTAGCACAAATTAAGAAAGGAAATACTTATAAAATAAAGATAAAGAAACAACAATAACAACAATAACAACAAAGCCTTAACTCCACTATGTGGGTTCGACTACAGGAATAAACACAAATCAATAGGTTTCCAAATTGATTTCAAATCAAATCTCCCATAAAATCATGGATAATCATTCAGTCCATGCTAGGAAACATCACCTGAAGCTTCACAGGTTTCCACAATTATCCCTCTTGGTGTTGAGAGAACTTTTTATTCAAAACTACTCATTAACCGTTGCAGCTTAACGTATATTAGTAACAGTTTGGTTTTAGAGCAAAAAGCTAATGAATCTAAACAATATCTCATGATTCTATCATCTTGGTTATCATTGATTATGGTATATTTAGTTTACAAAAAGAGTCGACGCAATCTAATGAATGGACCCTTTTCAATGGTCATTAGTTATATCATCCAAGATGACCTTCTAAACTTCGAGTGAATGTTTGTCTAAGTGAATAACTTCAAGTCAACCTTAGCTAAAGAATAATCTTTTGTGCTATCAAGTGCACTCCATGATTCAACACTTAGAAGATTTAGAATACAATATACTTATAAACTCTTACAGCAACTAATTCAATTGTCATTTCACATTGAACCGCCTAATCAGAAGGCCCCAGTCAAACTTAGTAAGAATTAATTTTGTCATTTTAAATCTTGTCAACTGCTTGCTTATAGAGAATACAGTCTATGACTTGCATATTACTTTAATTTATTTAAAAAATTACAAACTTATTCAACTCTATCTTTATATAAAAAAGATCAGGTTTATAGGCTGAATTCAGTGTTGTCTTTTACAAATATAATAGTATTGAATATTTTGTTTTGAAATACTTTTTCATTATAAAAAAATTTTTAAGTTTAAGGTCATATATAAATGAACGGCAAAATGACCTTCGTGAGATCCAATGGAGAGTACTTAATTCTCAATCTTTGATGATATCTTTGTTATATTAGACTGAAAATATGAATATGAACATCATTTTTTAATACAAATCTTACTAACTCCAATACTTGTGATATGGAGGATCGAACTTGCAACGTGCTCAAAAACACGTGTGACAAATTTGGGTTTGCTCCTAAAAAAATGCATTTTCAAAATAATTATAAATCTTTCAAAATATTTGCACGATTCTGAAAGCAAGATAATTTAAAGTCAATTTATGATTGCCCACACAACAATCTTGGACTTAAGATTAATCATTTAGTTCAATAGTCGGAGCACATGTGGACAGATTTACTATAGATGATTTAACATTTTTGCATGCCATTTTGAAGCAATCACGTGACCAGTGAAACACGACAATGAATTTATTATCATATTGGAAAATTTTCGTTTGCAGGAATATATGTTCTTTAAGGAAGCATAATGTCGCTCTAGATGTGCACAATTGCATTTTTAGTGATCAATGTGCATATCAGTAAAAGGACTTGTACAACTTGTAACGTGTGAAAGCCATTCACTTGAACGCATGCCAGATATGTGTGAGCCTAAAGTGGCAGTTGTTTACATGCATGGCTTTTTGTAATTTTATCCATTAATGGTCGCATTATGCCTGCTTGCATACATTGATTTATGGATTCAATGATGATTAATAGGGATTTTAATATTTGTTTAGTGTTTAATGCATTACAAGTGACTTGCATTTAATCTTATTTTGTTTGAATGAGCCCCACAGAGGATCATTCTCTGCCTATAAATAGACCCTACAATTTACTTATGTTGCAAGTCTCAATATGTCCAATTCCAGTTCTAGATTTATGTAATTTCTAGTTTTTTTAATTTATTTCGACATAGTTTATACATTATTTTAAGTATTTATTTAATGTTGTTCTATGAATTTCTGTTCGAGTCTCAATATTAAAAATTCTAGAAACCTCCTGGTATCCCCCCATGTTTGAGGCATTTCTTGCAATCATTAATTAGGATGGCATAATTGTAATTAGGAGCTAGAATTTTATTTCAGTTTATATTTCTTGGTTTATGTGTTTTATTTTATTATTTATGTAGGATGGCATAATTGTAATTAGGAGCTAGAATTTTATTTCAGTTTATATTTCTTGGTTTATGTGTTTTATTTTATCATTTATGTAGGATGGCATAATTGTAATTAGAAGAACTTGACCTTTATAAATAGAAGTTGTTTTGTGTGGGCAATAAATAGGAGCGTTTTTAGACTTGTATTTGTTTTCTCTTAAGATATTTTCGTCCATCCAAATCTTGCCCTGCAGCTATATCCTGGAATGGCGCCCACGTGATGTTCAGCCATTTTATTGTTCTTCATGTTATTCTCCATATTTCCCAGTTCTTTCCACTGTTACTGCTGAAATCAGTAACTACCCCCTTTGGTCTGTATTATTTTGGTATCAGAGCCCTTGCATCCTTCCGTTTGTCTTTCTTTCCCTTGCATCCTTCCATTTGTCTTTCTTTCCCACATGTTGTTGTCTTTTCTTTCCAAAATTTATGTTCTTCCAATTCGACTTTCTTGTCTGTTGTGGTTTCAGGTTGCAGCCCCTTTTGCTGTGTTTTGAGGTGAGGTTTCAGCTTCTTGGAACTAACAAACCAGCTATATTCTTGATCTTTCTCGCTGAAACCTAGTTTCAAAAGAGGACTGTTTTTGTCTTCTTGTTCTTCATGGCAGTGCTGCTCCTGCATTCTCTACTTCCTCTCCTCTACAACTTTCCAAAGAAACATCACCCAAGAACGTGTCAAGAACCAATCAAGAAGTGTACATGGAGGATCTTTTGCATTAAATACAACGTATGCAAGAGAGGCATATAGCCTTGGAGCAGAAAAGTACGAAGGAACACTTAGTGATAAATGATTTCGAGATAATGGGTGAAGAAGGGAATGAAATTCATTTCATCAAGAAGCCTCATGTTCCCATGGATTTCTAAGATTCAATGTTGGAATCACCGTCAATGCCCGTGTACAATGCGTATGACGATGACTAATTTTTGGCCTCTAATCATGGATATGCGCTGAAAAAAGACTGGTTTTTTGGAGTGAAAATTGTGAATATATAGTTGACACACGAGCTGATGGTGAAGATTCTCGTGCTATAAGGGATTAGCTGAGTGATCAAACTAGACGATATGTTGATTCTGCTTCTCTCAGCCATCAGCATCAGACCAATATACAAGATCATATGGATCAGGCATCATTGCTTCGACAACAACCAAAATTGAAAGCCCAGTCAATGCTCAATATAAGGGAATCTTGCCAACCATGGGAGAATGATGTGGGAGCTAAAATTTCATTTCAGTTTATGTATTTTAGTTTGGTATTTGAGTCTTTATATTTTAGGATGACATACTTATAACTAGGAGAGTCTAACTATTATAAATTGGGGTTGTTTTGCGTGGGCAAAATACAAAAGAGTTTTTAGACTTCTGTTTGTTTTCTCATGGGATATCTCTGTCCATCCAAATCTTGCCTTGTAGTTGTTTCCTAGATTGACACCCAAGTAGTGTTTACCCATTATCTTATTAATTATTTTTTTGAGTTATTTCCACTGCTCTTGCTGAAATTAGTAACTACCCAATTTGATCATTATTACTCTTGGTATGCACTCCCCCGCCCCCACACCAACCCAACACCCGTGTACAAAATTTGGGTTTATCGACGATGTCAAAAAAAAAAAAGTATTAAAAACTGTATATGGGAGTGTTTAGATAACTGTGGCTAGGTGTTCTACTGTTGCCCCAACAAGAAAGACATGCATATTTCTTGCACAAAAATCTATAGCACAAAATCTTCCCGTCACATCAACAAAAACAAATGTGACTACTTATTTTTGGCGGCTCTAATCTTTTACTGACATAGCGCCAAAAAAAAAAAAAAGGCATGTATAGATCTTCTAGCCGCTATGCTAGAAAAATCGTGTATGGTATTCTCCTGCATGAGAAAACATAGAAGCGAAGTGGGATTTCCATGCCAAGTTGGAAAAATGTATGCAAATGCTTTAGTGTCGGACGAGCTTTACAAATTTCAATATATCTGCACATGAGGTATGTCGAAGAGACAACGGTGAATGTCCAGTGAGTGATGAGGTCAAATACATTTTTTACTTATTATTTTTTTTTTTCTTTTATTTTTTCACTTGCCTCTTTCTTTATTTTTTTTCTCTTTATTGTTCTTGGTTCTTTTCTTTTTCTTATTCTGTTTTAGGATAAAAGGGATAAAATGATAAAGATGGAAAAAGAGAGAAAGAGGAGAGAGAGAAAGGAATAAGAGGGGTTGCTTCATAGTAGGATTGAAGCAGGGTTAACGTCAAACTCTGAGAGGAAAAAATGGGGGAGACACAGCACACGACCTGACTTTGTGAGGGTCCTTTGGCCCTCACAGAAGAGGAGGGCATCATATGGCAAAGTGAGCTCGGCAAACATTTTTTTTTACCTTCATTTTTTTTTTTTTAATTAACAAAGTGGGATTTCCATGCATAGGTGGAATGATGCATGCAAATACTTTAGTGTCGGACGAGCTTTATGAATTTCATTATATCTGCACATGAGGTATGTCACCAAGACAATGGTAAATGTGCAGCAAGTTGATAAGGTCAAATACATTTTTTTTATTTTTTTTTATTTTCTTCTTTTTTTTTCTTGCCTCTTTCTTTATTTTTTTCTCTTTATTGTTCTTGGGTCTTCTCTTTTTCTTATTCTGTTAAAGGATAAAAGGGATAAAGTGAGAAAGTTAGAAAGAGAGAGAAAGAGGAGAAGGAGAAAGAAATGAGATGGGTTGCTTATAGTAGGATTGAAGCAGGATTAACTTAAAACTCTGAGGAAAAAATGGGGGAAACGCTGCACAGGACCTGACTTTGTGAGGGTCCTTTGGCCCTCGCCCAGGGAATGTCTGAGTACAAAAGAGGAAGGTTTGGTATGACAAAGTGAGTTCGGCAAATATTTATATTTTTCATTTTGATTTTTTTTTAATTGCCATAAACAAATGCCCATCAATAAATATGGTTCACACTTGTAGCAAACCGTGTTTGTTATAGTTTAATTGAATATGTGGATATTCATTTTGGATGCTAACTGAGAATTCAATCATGCAGACCTTTCAAAATATACTCGGATGTCAACATAAACATGATCTGAACTTTGGCTTTTGAACTTAGGCATACAGATATATTTTGTAGACCATCTTTTTTATCTTTCTGCATTTATATACATCTCTTTTCCTCTTATATGTTGTTTTCCCTCATCATATGTATAGAACATGTTTATTATAGTAGATCTGATGGAATTTCGCACAGTGTGCTGATGAAGAGGTGAATTGGGCCATGATAGAAAGGCAAAAATCTTCTAGGCGTTGCTGAAGTTGATGGTAGACTTCAGCAACATAAAAAGATATTCAAAGATCAAAGCATCTATGTGACTCCTTTACTCCATCTTTTATTCTTCCATCCTATGAGCTCAACCTTTCCATTAATATAGATCATATAGAATGGGGGCTGCTATTAAGTTACAAAGTTGAGAATACAACCAATTGGAGAATATTGTTCGCCATGTAGCTATGAGATAAGAAACATCTTGTAGCAAGCAACAGATGCGGTTGAACAAATCAAGCAATCCAGACATGCAAGCCAAGGCTTTACAGCATGAGAATGAGAGTAACGCAAGGGCTAGTGAAAGTGAGAGTGAGAGTAAGAGAGAGGAAGAGGGAGAGGGAGGGAGAAAGAAGACCGGGCCTTGAGAACAAGTGCAAATATGGGAAAGGAGAAGCGCAACTTGTGCGATGGGGACTCAACAAGAAAAAAAATTTAAATTTGATTTTTTTTAGTTGAGGTCAACAACGCTAATAAGTGGCATAAATGCTAATGATGATGATAATAATAAGATGTATCAACTAAAATAACATTAGAAAATCAAACTAAATTATTTCTTAATTTTGTTGGATAATCGAAGTGCCTAAGAATAATTTTAGCAAAGATGCATCGAAAAAACATGTTGCATGAATTGACAAATTTCGCATTTGTAGGTAAAAAACATGCATGATCCGGTTTTAGAACAAAGAATTGAAAAGCTAAGAAAATAAAAAACAGAGAATTGAAATGCTAATGCTCATAGTGCCCTAACATTAAACAACAAGATATAAATCCATCAATACGTTGAGTGTGGCTATAATTAGATTAATATCCAAGCACGGACATGAAAAACATAAAAATAAACTAAGAAATCAAATAAACAAAATAAGTTAGTTCGTGAACTTACAATATCTCCATTGACATGCAAATAGGAACTATCAATCTTAGCATCCATGTCCAAATTATCTTCTTCATCTGATGCCTCCAAGCTCTCAAAAGCACTAGCACTTGGAGACTTCGGCGATGAAGGTCTGATAGCATGACTGGCTCTTTTGTTTGCATTTATTCCAGATGATTGTTTTTTGCCTGAAGGGACAAGAGCTAAACTAGCGGGTCTATACCATAAATAGAAAAATTATCCAACACAATTTAACATAACATCTAAATAATTAATAAGAAAACCCCCTGATCCTTTTAACTAAACTACAAAAGGAGCAAATTTAATTTAGGGCTAATTAACCAGATATTTGCCCTTAAGGCTGCTCTATCAAGGCTCTTATTTTTTGCTTGTTAGGAGGAAGAGTACCATTGAAGTCTAGCCCAAACGGTATGCTCCCTAATTCCTAAGGTAGAGGGCATGTATATTTATTCATATTAATTATTCACAAGATTCCTATTTAAAATTCAATAAAAATCTGGCTATGTACCATCATTTCCTGTGACTGGCCTGAAAACCTACTAATCGATTAATAATTAGCCTTATGCTACACTTTCATATTATAAAATGTTTGAGATTTTATTCTTTTTTTAAAAAGGAATTTAAAAGAAAAAAATTATTATGGGAGAGAGGAGGATCTATAATTTGGTAGAGAGTGTTAAGGTTTAGAACCGATCATTGGAATGGTATGGACCCTAAATAACTAAAAAGATAGTAGTTCTTTTTAATATGAAATATTTGACAAATTCGTTTATAAACAAATGACATACATTTACAATAATTTATATTACTTATCAACTTTTTGTTAACATTTTGTTTGGAATTAATTATTATTGAATTTTCAAGTTGCTTGATTCTAAATCAATTATATTGGTGAGGGGTTGATGGGGACAGTACAGTTTCATCAGTTTTGTTGAACTTTCGGGTTCATAATTGTGCTAAGGCTTAAACAATTCTCCCAATCTAACATGATCAAACATCCTCTGCTTTTATTTTTATTTTCTTTGGTTGAGCACGATCAGATATATGTTACACCGTTGTCTAAGAGAGATTTTGTCTTTTATTAGCCTAAGGGCAATTTAGTCATTTGTCATTTATTATTATTTAGTATAATTAGGGCTAGTATGTTTACAATTAGGGTTATGCATCTTAGGGTTAGGGTTTGAAAGAAATTTCCTACCTCTCAAATTATAGGATTTGGGAGAGATTGTCTACCTCTCGAATTTTAGGTGCTTATCTTTATGTATTTCGGTTTGTTATTAAAGAAAAATAATTTGTCTTGCGCTAAATTTTGTGGAGTTTCCTATCAAATTGTATCACAAAAATAAATCCTACTACTGAATAGTTTAGATCAGAGAGGATCGTTACATACACATGCTTGGAAGGAGTTTTGAAATCAGAGTTGGGACTTCTGGGAACGAAGGTTTCATGCGATTAAACCTAATAGGGAAGAAAATGGTGAGACCGAAGGGGTCATGCGATTTAACCTAGCACGAGCATAAGAGAAAGTTGAAGGTATTGTGCGACTGCATTGACGGGATTGCACCAAGAATGCGTACAGGGGATACAGTCGCGATAGAGCTCGCTGAGACGTGATGATCAGGATTGTTGCATACAATAATGAAATATCGTGATACAGTTGTGACTTGGCTTCAATTGGGCTAGCTAGGAGGATGGGATCTAGACACTACAACACTACTTTCGTGACCCTGCGAAACAGTCCTAATTAAAGCTAGCTGGGAAGTCCGCTGGATCACAGCGTATAGTTCTTGACCAAAATCGGTCCAAAAAAATAATGATTTGGAGAAAAAAATTGGAGGAACAGGTGAGCCAATATAAATCTGGGATAGAGAAAAAGATTTCCTCCATTGAAAAATGATTCGAGAGAATCGAGGAGATGATGAGAAGGCTTATAGAGATAAAATCTAATACCCCACCGACAGTTTAATTTGCAAAACCTAACCAAGGGTTGACCGAAGAATCATTGGCTAAATCGAAGGGAATGAGTCGGACAAGAAGACCACAAGGAGGAAAGTATCAACCATCAAGAACCCCCTCCCGAGGCTCCGATGAAAGGTGGATTAAAGATTGTTGAGGGAGGGGTTAGGCCAAAATATGGAGGAGTTATGCAAGGGGTGTGTAAGAGTACAAAGAAGGAATGAGAGAAGCTGACATGGGGTACAACTATGATCGAAAGCGAGATTTTTACCCTCGATACATTGAGGAAAATATCAAGGGGGAGAGAAAGTTAGGGTGGAGATGCTAGGATTAGGCAATTAACCATGCTGATCTTCGAGGGAGAAGACTGCTTCGAAGAATTTTGGCCTGGGACAGGGAATCACGATGGGTGAGCTCCGAGGGAGGGTTGCATCCAACTGTGCCAATGCTTTTTGTGATGGCAGTCTTCTAGACGAAAGAAAATTCAGAAGTAATGATGGGAATCAGGCAAGTGGAGAAGCGCAAGAGAGTCTGTAAGGGATTGATTTGAACACTGCAGAGCATTCAGGAGGGAGACAACATGGTGGTGCTTCACAGTGATCCCAATTTGTTCAGGACATTGGTGATGTTGAGGACTATGATGAGGGCGATTTAGGGCGCAGGGCTGAGATTCTTGATCGAGTGGCACAGCATGGAAGAAAAAAAGGATACAAAGTTGACACAGATTTCGATGATCAATAAGCTACTAGATCAGTTGTTTGATATTGTAATAATCTCTGAGAATGACTAGAAGTTTGAACACCATCAAATTCAGATGCAGTCGAAGGATGTGCACAAGACAGCATTTTGAGATGGTGAGAGTCATTACGAGTTTTTGATTAAATAGAAATGATTGTTAAATGATGATGACACGTGAAAGTCATTCGGTCTGATCCAACAACATTTTTACTACCTTAAGGAAAAAATATATTTTTGGGAGGGGAGTATTTTTACGTCCGTGTCTAAGAGAGATTTTGTCTTTTATTAACCTAAGAAAAATGTAGTCATTTGTCATTTATTATTGTTTAGTATAAATAGAGCTAATATATTTAGGGTTGGGGTTATGCATGAGATTGGGTCTTGAGTCTTATGATTAAGGTTTGGGAGAGATTTCCTACCTCTCAAATTATAGGATTTGGGAGAGATCACCTACCACTCGAATTGTAGGTGCTTATATTTATGTATTCCAGTTGTATTGTTAGTGTTATTGAAGAAAAATAATTTACTTTGCCCTATTGTCTATGAAGTTTCCTATCAATATCCTCACATTCTTACCATTTGTATGATACATATTTATACTAATTGTACTTATCTTATACCATCTCTCTCATATTAAGTGAAATTACATAGTGGGGAAGATTGAGAATATGAGGTGATAAAAGGCAACGGATAGAAGAAACCAATAAGACAGCTCACTATCTTATTTCTAAATAAATGGAAAGTTAATAAGATCAAGGAAAGTGCATGGATGAAAAGTAGTCAATCCAAGAATACTAAAAATATTTAATATATATATATATATATATATA